ACGGCGCATACAATGAATGTCGCGGCCATTGAGGCGCAGACATAGCTCTCGGGGCCCATAACCTGTTGAGCACTGGGGAGAGCGTCTAGCAACCCACCTGTGTGAGTTGAGAGCTTAGTGTGGGCACTATGCGGGAGTAGTCAAGAGACTTGGATTATAGGGTAATAGAGCCCTCCTTATATACAATACAGGGGGCTATTTGTGTCTATTTAGGACGAGTCGACATGACTCTAGATGACACGTGATGGAGTCATAAGATGTGTATCACGACATCCATCTGGCAGATGATAAGATCATCATTTGATCAACAGACAAAGCTGGCGGAACCGCTACAATTGACATTTCCGAGATATTCCGTCGAGCCACGCTCGACATCATGGGGACTGACAGGTGTGTGCTCTTGTTTCTCGAGAAAATCAGCCACGTATCGATGTATGCCACAGAATTTGGATGCGATTCCAACACCCTTGAGTCTGGCGGAAGGAATGAAGGAGATTTGAGCGAAGGCTTTCCATCTGCTGAGGCCATGTGCCAAACGCCAACTTTCATTGCGCTATGCAACTAGCCCAGGTGACCATTCTAGTCCTAGCGATCGAGGATATCTGCAGTTTTCTGATCGTTCTCAGTCTCTTAGTCTTACCGTCCTCTGGTGCGACTGAGGATACTTACAGAACTCGTCTACAATGATCTGGAGCAGCTCCGTACTTGTTCAACTGAATCACTCGGGTTTCATTCCCGGGCTTGGGGTCTGCTACACAGAGACCGGAACTAGAGCTGCTCCAGCCTACAACTGCGCAGGGCCCGGCTTCGAAAGGTCCAGCCTTTTGGACTTAAATTCCCAGCACGCCTCACACTACATATTGTCAGACTCTCGATTTCAATTGGTTCTTTCCTCTTCTTGACGTTTGCACATCAGATCAGATGTGGGCGTGGACAATGATAACAACTTGGCACCACATTTTTCACGCTATCATGTGATCATTGCAGTCGGAATCGCCGCGCGACCAGAAAAACAAAGTGCGACTTGAACACCCGCAAGACACCCGCAAGGAGGTTGGATCAAAGTTGTATTGGTGTGAGGAGTGGCAGACTATGAATACCATTCACGCATTGACCTGGATTATATGCATACAGCATGTGCTTCACTTCTCGTACACAAAAATCCGAGATGAAATCGCGGTCGTGTTCATGATTACTCAAGGCGTGCATGGTCACTGAGTGGGTGGATAACGTGGAAACACAAGGACTCAGGAAGATCAGGAGAACCCGCGAGACGAACAACCGAAACGGTGGGATAACTAACCTACGGCAATCTCAATATTCTTACCTTTGATGTTTTTCCACTCCATAGCTATGCAGCCGAAGGCAGTCAGGGCTGACATGGCCACAGCAACGTAGTATGCGGAGTCGAGAGCCTGAGCGATGTGAGAGTGAGGCAAGACTACATCAACAAAGGACAACGCACCTTGGAATATGCAAGCAGCACGCCGGCGAGCTTGTCAGCGGGCACAATGGACCGAAGGTTTGTGGCGCCCGCAGCGAGAACCACGTTGGGATCGAGTCCCGCGGCGTATTGGGTCAATCCGGCCACAAGCTTATTCGTGAAGACGTTCTGACCGACAGAGACGAATAATGCGCCGCCCAGCGTTTGTCCAAACATGACGATGGTAGTGCCGGATGGGACGTCATCGATATCCAGCACGGCCTGTGCTGCCAACGCGGGCTGGTTTTGGCCCAGACCCATCCCAAAGCCATAAATGATCTGGTACGGAATCCACTTCGCGTGGCCCGAAGACACGCCTAATGTGGTGATCAGTCCAGCGCCGACGCTGGCAATAACGGTCGAAACGATCATGAAAGGCACGTAATATCCCAGCTGCGCTACCAGAAGGCCGACCGCAATCGAGGAAATGATGATGGACAGGATCATCGGCAATGTGGATATGCCGGACTTGACAGCCGTCACGTTGTGAATCGACTGGAAGTAGATCGGGAGCTGCGTGCGTGTCAGTCTATCAGTCACTCCAGAAAACACGAAAACGCACATAGTACGAAAGCAGGAAAAACGATGAACCGACACAGAACGTATACCATATGCCACTCAAGATGCTGCGCTGCCTGATGATGCGCGGAGGGACGGTGGCCTGATCGCCCTGTCGGACCTGGATCGCGATGAAAGCAGCGAGGAGAACGCCGAAAACGACAAAGAGAGCGATCACACGGCCGTTATTCCACGGGTATTTGGATCCGCCCCATTGCAGAACAAGCAGCAAGCAGATGATGGCGGGAATGAAAACGACCGTTCCCAAAGGGTCAAACCGCATCAGCTTCTCCTTGAAGCTCTGCTCGTTTTTGACTTGCGCCTGAACCGGCATTTTGAACAAGAAGACGAGGAAGGCAAGAGTGAACGCGCCGGGAGGCAGGTTCTGGATTCCTTAGTCATTCTCGGTCTCTTCGTGAAGAAATCACGCACGATAAGGAAGCACCAGCGCCAACTGATTTTGTCGGTGAACACTCCGCCCATCAATGGGCCTGCAACGCTGGCAATACCGAAAGTCGCACCAATCATACCGGTGTATATCGGCCGCTTCGCGAGTGGGACTGTCTTCGCAACTATGATCATGGCGCCGGAAAATATACCCGCAGAGCCCAGCCCGGCAATTGCGCGACCGATGATGAGCGCCTTGGAGTTAGGGGCAGCACCGCAGATGGCGGATCCTGTAGGTGAAACATGTGATTTCGGATCCATGAATGCGAAGAGGCACAAGTACCGATTTCAAATATCACAATTGCCGTTATGAACACCCGCTTAACTGGCATGAATGTATAGAACTTTCCAAACAGCATTTGAGTGGCTGCAGTTGTCTGAGCGGTCCCATGAGTTTGAGAGACAAGGAAGGAGAGATTGAAGTATGCGAACGAGCAGATATCTGTGCAGAGCACAAGGCATCAGTTTTCGAATTGCTGACGCGGTGACACGAGCACGTACGCAGAGCCGTACCATCCCACATCGTCCAATGACTCAAATTGATCAGTGATTTTGGGGATGGCGGTCGCTATGATTGTATTGTCCTGCGAATAGTGAGAACTAGTCCCATCTCAGAAATGAAGAAATGAAAAGTCCGCACCAATGCAACCAGGAACACACTCAAGCACAAAGCAATCGTCATCAACACGAGCTTAAGGCCCGACGGATACTCTGCAACACCCACTTCCGGCTGAGCTTCTCTCTCAGTGGCACCGGGAATAGATTTTGCTAGGCCCCCATTTTTCTCCGTTGACCCAGACTGTTCTCGATCCGAAGTTTCAGGTGTCGAAACGCCGTGTTCTTCGATACTTAGCGTGGGCTCGCTGGCAGTAAATGGCATGAGGTGTTCGTGAAGGAGGGTGAAACGGAGCAGGTGGTGGTCCCGGACAGAAACAGGAAGCTGATTTTTGTGTCCGGCTCACAGTAACAGCAAATGTTAGATTTTTTCGTAAGGAGAGTGACCAATCACGGCAATCTGCCGACCTTCTGAACAAGTTTAGCCCTCTGAGTCATATCCATTGACAGATTGACGTAGGCTGATCGTAGCTGATCGTGGCCGGCTGGCCGCGCGCCTACCCCATGGTTCAGAGATTCCACAATTACAAAGCATCTAGACCTCGAGGAGTCAGATTGGTATCAAAGCAGTGGCTTATGCAGCCATACGTATAACGGCCACGGCCTTTGCATGTATGAGATGAAATCTGTGCCGCTTTCGGACCATCAACCGGAACATGATTACTTGTGTCGTGCGGAATCATGTTGTTTCGCTTAGTCATTTCTCAAGGATTCTGCACCACCTGATGCTTCTACAGGCTGACTAAAGTTGTGTGTTTGTACGGGTTCTTTTCTGTAAGGTTGGGTTTCATGGTGCAAAGTTGCCTCAATAGTTGAAGGTTCACGGGAACGTGGCTGAGATAGATCAAATGTGCTCGGGATTCTGATGATAGGCAACTTAAGGCTGCGACAAATTCCATTCAAAACTATTTAAAATGGTTATAACCATTTTTATTTTTGTTTTATTTGTCGGAGGGTCCAAACGTAGGGTTTGGTGTGCAATTCCTGAGCATTTATAAACATTTTTATGAATCAGGTTTGTAAACAAGAGGTGTTTATACTGTACCATTACAACCGTAGGTTCATGTCACTGGTCACCAGGACCCGTGAATTGAACAAGTATATATGTGACTTGTAGGAGTGGGTCCTGTATTTTGATCCAGTAGGACTTGGTTCCAGTCCTATTTAGGTGTCCGGTCCCACTAGGTACAGTCGGATTGTGTTTGTAATACATAAACATGCTGGTCTTTGCTCCAGAGTTTGCTGAAACGCTGACCAATGCCCAGACAAGCCCCCCGCCCAGATGCCAGCCAATGATCATGTGTAACAATCTACCACAATTAGAGGCTTGTGATCTTGTTGCGATCTGTGACAAGATGTGATGGAAATGTCCCTTTCTGTTTGTATTACCATGGCTTGCTTACTTGCCCTTGTTTGTTGACAGTTGTTTGGTTAGATAAATATGATTGTAGTATAAGTAGATAGGGTGTGCAAGAGGTAGACTAGTCAATTTTAAGCTGATACCTGTCTCTTGGGATTGACAACCGAAACCCTTGTGTGACGGAACTTGTTGAAGACACTTCCGCCACATATTTTTGACAGAACAAGCTAAAGAACTCTTTGCTCTGCTCTGGCCCCCATGGATTGATCCCCTGCACCTGCCAACTCTGCCAAAGACAAACCTGTCGCAGACAATATCGCGCAGTGGAGATACGACCAGTAGTGATCACCTATAGAGACAGAGTCTGTCATAGTTCGGCCACTTTTTCATCTTATCTTCGACGATCTTATCTTATCTTGGCACGGGTTATCTTATCACGGATCATGGCATCAGACGGCCCGGGTTAGGGGTTCCAGGGATTATCTTTATCGATCCAAGGCTGCGCGACATATGCTCCGGAAGGTTCTACTGCAACCCATGACCAGTGCTCCACGCGGTACATAGCCTTATGACTCATTAGTTGTAGATATGACTCAGACTGGACTTGGGTATAAATACTGTAGCTACTTTGGTTGTATTCTCCAGTCTTCGAATTCACTTCTCTTTTCGACATTATTTCTTGTTGATTGTCACATAATTCGAAGACTCCCCTCATACCCTCCTACCTCATACCTCTTACCTCTGCATCCCTCCCCGCTACGCCCGCTATATCCTCTTCACCCTTATCACCCCACTCACCCTTTTACCAAATCATCTAGTCGTTCTCTGCGATCGCAGTGAAGGGTTCATCTCGAGCAAACAGCACCAGGCCACGGGTAACGTTGAGCCCGACCCAAGCCTTACGGTAGCTACAAGGAGTGCTGCGGAGACCTTCGGGAAAACGCACCTCGGGATCATCGGGCACGTGAAGAGCTAGGCCCGGGATCTTTTTGCTAGCAACAGAACCTTTCCTCGAGTGCTTGTACAGCACACGAATCCACCATTTCGTACCGATTCCCATCGTCGTCTGGGAGTCCGTCTCCTCCCCCCATCCTACCATCGTCGCCCGATCTGGCGTATCAAAACCAACCCGGGCCCTCCGATCCCTACCTCGCCCTCCCGCCGCCTGAAGACGAGATCCCTGACCTCGACGAATTGCCCTCCGAACAACCACCCTCACCCCCACCTACCACACCTGCTCCTACCATGTCAGGACACCACCGCATCACCCTCGCCGCCAACCCCCCCTATTTCGATGGGGACAAGACAAAATATATGGGCTTCGTGGACTCATGCACTACCTACATTGGTGCCTATCGGTCGGAATTCTCGCAGGATGAAACAAAAATCCTGTTCATCCTCTCCTACCTCCGCAACGAGGCTGGCACAAGTTGCGCCGCCTCGAGATGGGCGATGAACTGGAAACAGCGCAACTTCGAGAGCCTTAGTGGGATAAAGGCTGGGGTCACCTCGGCAACCTTCTTGGAGGAGCTTCAGAGGGCCTTTGGGGATTCCAACGCAGAGCAAGTTGCCGCCGCTCGACTCATGGCCCTCCGCCAGAACAAACGATCCTTTGCGGATTATATCTCCGACTTTGAGATGCTGGCTTCGGATGCGGGGTACAATGTGGTCACCGCCACCGACGACAAGGGCGAGTACAAGAAGGGGGATCAAGACAATATCCTCATCGAGTTCCTCGAGCGCGGACTCAGTAGCGAGATCGCCAGTCGCCTCTACAACACCGGTGTTCCCCTGCCCAAGGTGTATGGCGCCTTCAAGGACTGGTGTGTCAACATCGAGGCGAACGCTCTTCGTGACCAGCTGCGCAAAGCGTCGTATGGGCACCCCACGCAACGACCACCTCCTCAATTCCGCCCTCAGGCTGCTCCAACGACACCTGCACCTGCTCCGGCTCGACCCGCTGCCAACGAACCGGTTCCAATGGAAATCGATCGCACCCATGCCCGCAGCCGCAATGTCATCTGCTACAACTGTCAACAGCCCGGGCACATTGCGCGGAACTGTCCGGAGCCAAGGAAGAAGCGCACATTCTTCAATCGGGCCACGATGCTGGAAGAGATTGAGAACGGGGACAAGGACAACGAGTTCCTCAAGGAGATCGCCGAGAAGCTGCGCGAGAAGGGTTTTTGAAGCGCTCCACTCCTCTAGCCAAGGAGGTGGAGCGCCCGGACTATGGACGTTTTTCTGTACTTGTTTCAATTAAAGATACAAACAATATGCCTCATCATACATACACGCTCCCCGACTCACTACGTACAAATATTCATGATTTTCTTGTTGCTGAAATGGAAAAGGAACGTAAAGAAAAAATAGCTTTAAATAGAAAATATTTACAAGATAAAAAGGATCAGAAGATAGCGGCTGCGGATAAATTATTTTTGGACTCTTACGTATTTATGGCTCGTGGAGAAGGAACCACGTCAACAAAGACCGAAAAGGGGAGCATCGCTCCGGAGGCTCGATCCTTGGAAAAGGAGGAAGCGCCTAAGGAATCTGCCGAAATCAAGGTTCCAGAAGCACCCAAACGCACAAGGGTGCCAGATGCTGTCCAGAGGAAATTGGCGGCCGAGAAACAGAAGGGCCCCCAACCCAGCAGATTGGCGCAGGAACTGCGCAGCTACCAGGCCGAAAGGAAGAGGCATTCGATGGACGTGTATGTCCAGATCACGGGCCTGGACTCGGGAAAAACACGCGGAGTAAAGGCGCTGCTCGATAGTGGCTGCAGTACCTGCTGCATTGATACCGACTACACGCGGGCAGAGAGGTTGGATATCCAAGAGCTTCCACAACCCATCGTGGCTCGTAACGCCGACAACACCGAGAACATCAGCGGTCGGATCACGCATTATGTCGACCTAAGGATGAGAATCGGTCCTCATGTAGAGACACGCACGTTCCTTCTGACGTGTCTAGGGAAGGCCCGGATCTTCATTGGCCTCGATTGGCTGACGGAACACAACCCGGAGGTAGATTGGCAGGAGCAGACGATGAGATTCAGCCGATGCCCAGAGCGGTGTCACATGAGGGGTCACGAGGAGCACCAAGCAATGATCGACATGGATGCAATCGACCTGGACGCGGATGCACCGGATCTGGAGGAGGGAGAATCGATCCTATTGGTTGACTTTGGGAAGGAAGTGGATCTACGGCTGAAGGAAACGCCGGCGCAGAAATTCGCAGAAGAAGCGGAAAAGGAGAAGGAGAGAATGACTGAGGGGAAGATCCCGGATCAATATCGGGAATTCGTCAAAGTATTCGCCAAGGAATCGTTCGACTCGCTGCCGGACCGACGAGCATGGGATCACGCGATCGAGCTCAAACCTGGCTCCAAAGCAGTGGACTGCAAGGTGTACCCCTTATCGCGAAACGAGCAGGTCAAACTCGACGAGTTCTTGCAAGAGAACCTGACCAGTGGACGGATCAGACCATCAAAATCACCCATGGCATCAGCGTTCTTCTTTGTCAAGAAGAAGGATGGCTCGCTACGGCCCGTCCAAGACTATCGGAAGTTGAACGAGATGACAATCCGAAATCGTTACCCGCTGCCGCTGATTTCTGAACTGGTTCACAATCTATGCGGCGCCAAATTCTTCACGAAGTTAGACATTCGGTGGGGATACAACAACGTACGAATCAAAGAAGGCGACGAGTGGAAGGCTGCATTCCGTACAAACCGCGGACTATACGAGCCCTTGGTCATGTTCTTTGGCCTCACGAATTCCCCGGCAACGTTCCAAAACATGATGAACGACATCTTACGAGAACTGATCAACGAGGGACACGTGGTAGTCTACCTGGACGATATATTGATCTTCACAGAGAACTTGGACGAACATCGGCGGATCACAAAACGAGTACTCGAATTGCTCCAAAAACACAAGCTGTACCTGAAACCCGAAAAGTGCGAGTTCGAACGCACGGAAATCGAGTATCTGGGTGTAATTATTGGACACAATTCAATGCGGATGGACCCAGTCAAGATCAAGGGTGTGATGGAATGGCCGGAACCAAAGAGCGTCAAACAGGTCCAAGCCTTCCTAGGGTTCACCAACTTCTATCGGCGCTTTGTCCGGGGATATGCGGAGGTCGCCAAGCCGTTGACACGACTGACAGGGAAGGCAGGATGGTCATGGGGTACAGATGAGCGCGCAGCATTCGAGGGGTTGAAGAAGAGAATCGCGGAGGATGCGGTCCTGGCACTGCCAAATGACACCGGCCAATATCGTCTGGAAGCCGATGCTTCGGAAGGGGCAACAGGAGCTGTTTTGAGCCAGAACCAAGACGGCATCTGGCGCCCTATCGCATTTATTTCGCATGCATTGACGGAAACCGAGCGGAATTATGAGATCTACGACAAGGAAATGCTTGCAATCATGCTATCATTGGACGAATGGAGGCAGCTACTCCTGGGAGCCACGGAAACATTCGAGATCTTCACCGATCATCAAAATCTCGAGTATTTCCGGAAGCCGCAGAAGCTCAACCGACGGCAAGCACGATGGATCACGGAGTTGGCGGAATTCGATTTCACCTTACGACACCGGCCCGGCGCGCTCAACCGCAAGGCAGATCTCTTATCTCGACGAGCGGATCACGATCAGGGCAAGAACGACAACAAGGATGTTACATTGCTGAAACCCGAGTTCTTCCGATCACAAGAAGTTACATTCGAAGGGCAGGATCAGCAACTGATTGATGAGATCAAGGCCATTCGATCAACTGATGGAAGCGTCAAGGCGGCCTTGGAGAAGTCGCTCGTGGGATGGAAGAAGGAAGATGGACTCATCACGTATCACGGAAAGCTCTATGTACCGAGGGACGAGGAGCTACGAGACAAGATCATTGGGCTACACCACGATACACCCTTGGTCGGACATGCAGGAATCAACCGAACGCAGGAGATGGTGGAAAGGAACTACTGGTGGCCAAGGATGGGGAATCAAATTCGGAAATACATCCAGACATGCGAGGCGTGCCAACGGACCAAGACCAGAAGAGCGAGAACGGGGACCCTACACCCGCACGCGGTCCCAAACGCACCATGGGAAATCATCTCCATGGATCAAATCGGACCCCTACCGGTCAGTAACGGGTATGATGCAATCCATGTGTGGTGTGACACCTTCACCAAAATGATCCATGTCGAACCGATTAGCACTGACATCAGCAGCGAAGGAGTAGCACGGTTAACCAGGGACCGGGTCTTCCGTTATCACGGGATCCCTCGCAAGATCATCACCGACAGGGACTCTCGATACATCAAGGGCTTCATGAAGGAAACGAATCGGATGTTGGGCGTAGAGATGAATCCGGGGACCGCATATCACCCGATCACGGATGGGCAAACGGAGCGTATGAATCAGGAGATCGAGCACTATCTCCGCATCTACGTCAACTATCATCAGACGGACTGGTCGGAGTGGCTGGGAATGGCGGAGTTCGCGTATAACGACAAAATGAACACGTCTACCAAAATATCACCATTCTACGCGAATCACGGATATCACCCATGGAAGGGAGTAGAGCAGCGGATGGAATCGAGAAACGAGTCGGCGGAGGAATTTGTAAAAAGAATCAAAGAAATACAAGACGAAGCAAAAGCAGCATTGGAAAAAGCAAAAGAAAAAATGAAAAAATATTACGATAAACAAAGAAAAGAAGTTCCGGAGTTGAAGGTTGGGATGAAGGTGTACATAGAAGGGGAAAATATCGAGACGGACAGACCATCAAAAAAGATGAGCGACAAGAGATTGGGACCATACAAGATACTGGAGAAGGTTGGAGCGGCCGCATGGAAGCTGGAGCTGCCGGATACGGACCGAAGACACCCCGTGTTCAACGAATCACTATTGACACCCTATCACAAACCACCCCCCCATCGCCGAGAGAAGAGACCCGTAGCCAAGATGATCGGAGGAGCAGAGGAGTGGGAAGTCGAAGAAATCGTGAAAGAGCGAAACATCGGCCGAGGAAAACAGTACTTGGTCAAATGGAAGGGATGGCCGCATAGCGAGAACACCTGGGAACCATCACGTCACCTCACCCACGCGAAGAAGGTCCTGAGAGATTGGCAGAGGAAACAATCCAACCCAGACACACGCATTCGCCTCCTGCCAACTCTCCAAGCCGGACACTGGGACTATCTTATTCATCGCTATAAACCCAGGGACGAGCGCCTCCCATATCCCCAACGACAACTCTTCGATCCGTACGAGAACGTCTTCACGCCCATTGGCCTAGTCGATGAGGACATCGACCCTAGAGAGGGGGTAATGTCATAGTTCGGCCACTTTTTCATCTTATCTTCGACGATCTTATCTTATCTTGGCACAGGTTATCTTATCACGGATCATGGCATCAGACGGCCCGGGTTAGGGGTTCCAGGGATTATCTTTATCGATCCAAGGCTGCGCGACATATGCTCCGGAAGGTTCTACTGCAACCCATGACCAGTGCTCCACGCGGTACATAGCCTTATGACTCATTAGTTGTAGATATGACTCAGACTGGACTTGGGTATAAATACTGTAGCTACTTTGGTTGTATTCTCCAGTCTTCGAATTCACTTCTCTTTTCGACATTATTTCTTGTTGATTGTCACACTCAGCGAGTGTAGAAGACACAGAGCTGAGGATATGGAGTGTATAGTACTAAGTTTATATACCAGTCTGGAGCAGATATCATGATGTCATAGTGGAGTAGTGATATCATAGATGAGTAATGGATGACACAATAATGAGGTCAGGTATGAGGTCATTGTGGAGCGAGCCAAAGTAATCTAAAGATACTACATATGATGTCATGTCTACATACTGTGATAGTCGCTAATACAAACAAGCTTCAACACTCCCACTCGACTAAACAGTCGGATCACAAAGACCCAAAGACAGCCGATGTTGTTGGAAGTTCACCCATGCCAAAGACTTTGTGAGCATGTCGGAGATCATCGCATCAGTCGGCACATGGTAAAGTTGGACATTGCCAGCTTCGACGGATTCTCGTACAAAGTGATAGCAGATATCGATGTGCTTCGTCCTCCTATCATGAACTGGATTTACTGCCATAAAGATAGCGCCTTGGTTATCAACACAAAGAGGCGTCGATGGCAAGTCATATCCTAGCTCAGTCAACAAAGTGCGGATCCAGGCAATCTGGCGCGTAGCATCGCTCAGAGCCATGTATTCGGCCTCTGTTGAGGACAAAGTGACCGTGGGTTGGCATCTAGAAACCCAGGTCACTGCACAACCGGCGATGAAGAAGGAATATCCCGTGGTTGAATGCCTGTTGTCTTTGTTCTCCGCCCAATCAGCATCGGAATAACTGATAAGGCCTGCGCCAGTGGAACCATCATAGCAAAGTTGGTAGTGCTTGGTGCCCTGAAGGTACCGGAGTATGTATTTTGCCATGTTCCAATGATGTTCTGACGGGTTGCTGTTGAACTTTGAAAGACAGATGACTGCGTAGGCAATGTCGGGCCGTGTACCAAGCATGGCGTATAGAAGACTGCCAATCAGCTGCTGGTAACGGGTACGACGGTCTTCATCAACTTCTCCATTGTGCTTCTCGAGCACGATGCCGGAAGGCAGGGGAGTACGAGCTTCTTTGCAAGAAGACATCCGGAATTGTTCTAGAACTCCCTCGATATAAGAAGTCTGATCGATCCAGATTTTACGCGCTTTGCGATCATGAACTATGTTCAGACCAAGGAAATCCTTTGCAGGACCAAGATCTGTCATTTTGAAGCGGTTCGCGAGCAATGATTTGATCCGCGCTATCTCCGGCAGATTGTTGCCCATAATGAGCATATTGTCAACATCCAGCACCAAGATGATGACCGTATCTCCCATTTGTTGGCAATATGTGTAGACACTGGCGTCGGAGTATGTCCGAGCAAAACCAAGTTTGAGGAGGGCACTGTGGATTTTGATATTCCACTGACGAGACGCTTGTTTCAACCCATAGAGTGATTTACAAAGGCGTGCCACCTTTTCTTTTGGCCATGACGAGAAACCTTTGGGTAATTCCGGAAGTTCCATATAGATTTCTTCCTCCAGATCCCCGTTTAGGAATGCCGTTTTGACATCCATGGCATGAATCTCCCAATCTTCGAGAGCAGCCAGAGCCATAAGTATGCGCAAAGATTTGTAGCGCAATACTGGTGAGAAGGTCTCATCATAGTCAAACCCATGAACCTGAGTAAAACCCTTGGCAACAAGTCGTGCTTTGAAACGACCATCACGCTTCCTGCTAAACACCCATCTGCATTTGACAGTCTTTCGACCGCGTGGAAGGCTGGTCAAATCCCAAGTACAGTTTTCCTTGAGAGAGTCCAGTTCTTTGCGCATTGCGCGCTCCCACTTGAGTGCATCCGGGCTCTTTGCTACATCCCGCACGTTTTGAGGCAAGTCATGCTCAGCTTGGGCAGCTGACAACATGGACTCAATGCTGCTAGGCCTCTGATATGTAGTTCCATCTGGCATAATGCGGGGCTTATTCCGACGAGTGCGGCGATGGGCAATCGGGCAATCGTCTATCGGGCCAGGCATTAGGGGTACTTCTCGCGATCCCGTGACAGGACCTTGTTGCGCGAGGGGTGCCGGTGGCGGTGGGAGAGCAGGAGGTGGTATGCTTGCATAAGGCGTTGCAGGCGCAGGATTATTAATAAGGTCAGGGAAGGTTTCCTCGAATGGTGTGAACGGCTCCGGTCCAGAGGACACATTGCCGGTGACTAGCTTGGACTTGGCAGGGAATACTCGCTCATCAAACTCGACGTTTGAAGAGATTTGTATCTTGCGTTGATTTGGATCCCACACTTTCCAAGCTTTTGTCTCTCGTTCGTATCCAACAAAGATGTGGTCGGGGCATCCATGCTCCAACCCTTTCGGGCGTTTTTCAACATCCACATAGAGAGACGCCTTGCATCCAAACACACGGAAATAAGAGACGTCTGGCTTCTTTCCAAGCCACAGTTCCGCAGGTGTTCGCCATCCCAATTGTGCCATAGGTTGTCTATTATGAACGTGGACAGATGCATCCATAGCACATTGCCAGAAGCCTTTGGATAGGCCAGCATTGAGGCGCATGCATTCCGCTTTCTCGTAGGCTGTGCGATTCCAACGTTCAGACCTCCCATTTTGCTGTGGTTTGCGTGGCGCGGACTTAGGGTGCATGATACCACGTGCATTGAGCCAGGCTGTGAGTTCATTGGACATATATTTGCCTCCACAATCTTGGCCAGTACTTTTGTGCCAAGCTGACGCTCTGTAAGGGCAACAAAGTTTTTAATCACAGTAGAAGCTTGGTCCTTTGATTTAATGAACACCATCATGCCAAAGCTCGAGAAATCATCGTAGAACGAAATTGTGTAGCGTGAACCTTCCAACGACTGAGTAGGCCAGGGGCCCATCAAATCAGTGTGGATAAGCTCGAGAGGTTTGCTAGCACGTTTCTCTGATGCAGGGTACGGGTGCTTGTGCTGTTTTCCAAGCATACATCCATCGCACATGCCGCGCTGGTCTTTATTGCATTGCAAGGGGGGAACACCTTCAACTTGTGTCGGCAAGTGAGTAAGGGTCCTCCGAGCCGCATGACCAAAACGCTTATGCCACAATTCACGATCGGTAGTTTCCAGGGAAGCGAGCGCGGTAGACTCGTGAGATGCAGACACAGGCGGTGCCACGAGCTCCTCAGGGTAGTACCAGTAGCAGTGATTGCTTGCTTTAAAGGTCATCAAGACATCCCCATGCGCTTTTCCCTTGTTGAGCCAATCCTTGGTGACTAGGATTGCCTTGTTGTCACCAACCACGGTGTAGTAACCAGCCTGATCGAGCGCATACCCAGAAAGATAGTGCCCTCTTATGTGCGGGTTGTAGATGACATCCTTCAGCGTGAAGGTGTAGTCCATGCCACTACTAGTATGACCCCGCAACACAATATCTCCAATGGCTTCATTCTTGAAGCAAGCTCCTGACCCAATGACTACATAGGTGTCAATAGGTCTGATGTTGTGAAGATTGGATCGGGTGTTTGTCATATGATGTGTATAACCCAAATCCCATAGAAAACAAATTTTGGAGTTGTCTCCCATTTCTTCAACAAAAATTCCATCATCGTTGTGTTGGAGGGAGTCACTCATGAAATAGGATGAGAAGTGCATTCCATTAGAAGAAGAAGCTGCAACCGCGGGAGCAGCTACAACCTCTTTGTTGTTTACAGTGCTGGTACCATCACCACTATTCTTCTTCTCCTTCTTCTTTTTCTTCTTCCCCTCATCCTGCTTCCCCTTGCCTTTGTCAGAAGATTGACCAGTAGGCTTGAGGTTGGGATACTTCTTGTAGCAGGATGCCGCAACATGACCGGACTTGTTACAATGAGTGCAGCGGGTGGCAAGGGACGGAACAGTGGAAATCTTCGAGTTCAACGTCATGTCGAGGTTCTCGATCTTGATATTCCCAATGACGCTGTTCTTGACATTGACCGGGTTCAAGGAAGCGATAGGACGATTGGCCAGGTAAGAGGTGACGAAACCTCTGCTGGAAGCGGGCAGAGCGGCGAGCATGAGAGTAGCGAAGAGGTAGTCGGGGATCTCGATTCCTCCTTCTGAACACTGGCAACGACGAGTCTCCATTTCCATGATTTGCTTTTCAATGGTGTCACCACCATGGAAGGTGGTGGTGTTCAGGAGACGGTACTCGACGAAAGCATCAATGGCATTTGGTTGGCCATAATCCGTTGCCATTTTCGCCCAAACTTCGCGCACAGTGCGCTCCCTCTGACCGTCCATAAAGATTCCTTTGCGCAAATTCTGGGTGATGTAAACCCGCACAAGACCCAGTGCCTTTTCATTGGCAACATCCCATTGATTCTGGGTGTCCCCAGCAGTTGAAGGGTGTTTGACTGCACCGATGTTGGCAGCCGGCGCACCATTAACCGTGATATAAGAGGGTTTCACAACCCCCCAAGTGCCCTGGTGCATGCATATGCTCATATAGTTGTCCGACCAAGTGTTCCAGTTTGTGCCGTCAAAGACGCTCAGGATGGAATTGTTGAGCTTTTCTATCCTGGACATTGTGGGAAGAAATTCGATGACGTTGGCGATGTGGTGGTGGAGAAGGGTAGGTTCGACGTATGGAGGATCTCCAAACAAAAGACGAAGCACAACGGTGAAATTTCCTTGCGCCTGATTGCTGTTCTGATTGTCGATATCACCAACCCGATAGATGTCACCGGTGATGGATTCGATGGGAAGATAGGAGTGTCCGAAAGTTGTCCAAGAGTTTACAGGGTATAGGACAACCCCAACAGGAGGATCGTTCAGTGATGACAGGGTGATAGAGATGAAGACTAGAGCGACAAAGTCAGCCCCAGATTCTCTGCAGACCAAGAAACAAAATCCCGAGTGCCAAATCTCTGAAACGAGAACAACCAAGCGTCCCCATCCCATCCATGATGCCCATATACACGCGGGGAATGATAACGAAATCAAGCGGTATAGTAAGTGCCCATATTTGTATCAAAGTAACGTAACTATATACGTCAGCGGCGGCAGTACCCGACGGTGATTACTGCCCTCGCAGTCCGTCACTGGCCAAGGGACACGTGCCCAAGGCCGTCCCAAGCACCGGGTTTGGCCGCCCATCTTCTCCCTTTTAAAGACATGCATACACGCAGAGTGTCATTGCATGAATCCTCGTAGTGTCACCAGCCCGCTGATAGGCTGGCTACCAGACACGCTCTGCACCAACTCTGTAAGGGCGTATTTTTGCGCTTTTACAGAGTTTACTCTTGAACCACTCGGTGTATCGTGTCGCGGTTGACAGTGTTGCGCTCAGTAGGACTTAAGGGTCTACTGCCCAGTCGACGACTGTGGATAGTGTCGACGATAGCAAGGCAGTCAGACCACTACTGTGGAACTGGTCTTATGAGTCTATACCAGGCTCAGGGCCATTAGTGACGAACGGTTGGACTGCGACCATTCCCCAAAAAGGGATCTGTTGTTGCGTCGACTTCTCAAAAAGGGTCATTCTCTGCAGATGGATACTTGGGCTGAAGGGCTGAGCAATGTACGACGTTCTCAATAATACGACTACTACTGGACAGGACTTGGCGTTACGAGATTGAACCAATCTTGTCGCGGCAACTCCCAGTCTTGAGTTGGACGTTTCCTCAGATCATGCCACGACGACGACTTGTCACATGTCAGGATCCATTCAGTCACGGGACATTGTGGACGCGTTGCGGTGACACTTCCAAGTGTCACGGCAAGTCGCGTCCATACCCAAACACACTAAAATCAACACGGCTAGATCCGTGAACCGAGCCATGTGGGGAATGACTGGCGTGCCTAGGGCCATGCGGCTTCTTGGGGTGCCCACGTTGGTCTCACTTGCCAAGACATACCCGTTGGCCAATCCAACACGTCGTATTCCAAAAGTATGACGCGGCAAGTTGGCCCACATCAAAAGTATCATATGGACTATGGGGCGGGGTCCCAATCACTCAGGGCCTGTCCGATCGTTCAACTTTCAATTACCCTAAAAGGCAACTGATCTTAGATAGCGTAGCTACTATGCAGTTGTACAGGACTTTACTAAGCACCGTCGTAGGCAGTATAAGTAGCACGTCGTTTCTTTGTATTAGGGAGCTTTCCCCCGGACTGTGAATCACTCTCATTTCAGATTGTTTTGTACAATTTGCGTGTCGCGTGATTCCACCCTAAGAAGTTCTGCCACCCCTGCCCGGTCGCGACGAGTTGCTCCCTGAGCACTTGTAGCTACTGTGATTTGAGTTTGAGTTGAGATATCAGAAAGTCGGATTCGCCGCATCTGGTTTTAGTCGCGGCATCTAGTGTCGTCGCCCTTTGGGCTTTGTTGAGATCGTTCCACACCTCTAGCTTGGCAGTGCGTCGACTAGTTGTGCTCAGGTTGTTTTGGTCAGTTGGCAGTGCGTCGACCTTGAGAACTTTGGTTCCACACTTCTTGCTTGGCAGTGCGTCGACAAGTTGTGCTCGGGTTTTGGACATTGGATATTGGCTGTTAGTTGGCAGTGCGTCAACGCGGCATTTCGGTTTACTAGTTGGCAGTGCGTCGACTCAGTATTTTGGTTGTATCGGTTGGCAGTGCGTCGACTTGATATTTGGGCTTTGCGTTGCCATCTGGACGCTGTCGCTTCAAGGGATCTTAATACTTCGTATTAAGTTCTGACTTGTGATATTGTTGGTTGTGGTTGTATTAGTGTTGGATTTCGTTCATATAGAAGATATTGGTTGAGACACCATTGTTTACTATATATAAATTCTTGTCGTCGACTTCGTCTTCCGCGACTATTGATCTGTGTCTATTGAGAGTTGTGATACTGGTGTTCTGTCCACCCCGAAGCCCTCGCATCTTTCACACACTGAGAAGCTGATTACGAGGAGTGTGAACGTGTTTATATTTGGGTTTACTTTCATAGTAGATTCACTTGTGAGCACGCCCTCAGCATTTCACTGGACGTTATTGTATCCCCATCGGATGTCCAATTTTGTGAAGAATTTCGCACCACACAGCTTGTGAACTAGTTCAGAGATCAGTGGCAATGGGTACCGGTTTCTGATGGTCATTTCGTTCAGTTTTCGATAATCTTGGACAGGTCGTAAGGATCCGTCTTTTTTCTTGACAAAGAAGAATGCCAAAGCCATGGGTGATTTGGATGGTCTGATACGTCCACTGGCCAGATTCTCTTCAAGGAACTCGTCCAGCTTGACCTGTTCATTTTGTGACAGCGGGTAGATGTCAGGGGACGCCGCGCTCCTTGGGCACGTGACCATGCACGTGACCCGCTGCGCCCTCTCTGCCGACCCGTGCCTGCTCACCTGTCGATCACCCAGCCTCCTCCTCCTCCTCCGATCCTCACCTCCATCCATGCCGACATCCGCCCTCTCCCTTCTTCCCCTGGCCATCTCCCTCGAATCCCCGCAAGCGGTCTAGCCAAGCCCGATTCCTTGCACCAGGGAGTGCTACTGCCGTACGCACTCCTCCCCCTCTACTTCGGCCTTCTTCCCGCGGATGTGGTCTACTGCCGTACAGGCTCGTACCAGATGCCTTGCGCTCATCCGTACCACCCCTCTTCCCAGTCGGGCATTGGTCCTCGCCTCCGATGCCTCCACTGGCCGGCCCGGCACTGGCCTGGCCACTGGGCTCCTCCAGTGTGGCCTTCCACTGTTGGTGTCTCAGGAGCTGGCCATCACTGGCCCCTCTGAGCCACTCACTATCTTATCTGGGTTTGTCATTATCTACTTGTCATCTGCCATTGTTCCATGGCAGTGATATCCCATCATCATCAGTCACTTGTCACAGCTGACTATATAGTGTGACACCTGGGCACATGGATCCTTGAACCGTTCTCTAAGGATCCCCCTCTGTGCTCAGACTCATGTGAGGTTGTTGTGTGCTGTGTGCTCTCTTCCTTCGGGCTGGCAGGAGTTGCCCTTACAGCAGAACGGTTCCACCCCATTGGACTCCACCCAGCTGAGCGTCAGGACAGTGGCAGTCTATGGCGCCCTGTTGCTGCGCACTGGTGTGGCCTCCAAGCCGGCTGGCGGCTAGTGGTTTTGTAATTGGTGTGTCCCTGTCGAGTCCCTGGTAGTGTTAACTGGTCCACTCCATACATCGCATACGCATCACCCACGAACCCCCGGTCATCCCTCCCCTCCTCTTCCTCCCCCCTCATCTCCCTGGCCTACTGCCGTCGAGGCTCGTGCCATCCGACTCCGACCTCCTCCCCCCTCGTTCCCCTCCTGGATTTAGGACTTGGCCTCCCTCTCTCTCCCCCCTCCTGGCTGGATGTTGGTTCTGTAGATTGGTGGATTTGGATGGCTGAGCTGGGTTGGATGAGTTGGTGGTGGGATGACTGTCATACGTGCTCTGGTCTCTGGTTGGGTCCTTGTGCCCTAGATATGTGATTCTGCTCCTCTCCTATGCTGCTGAACACATTCTACCCAACCTGCTCTACTCCCTCTCCCCCATGGGCACCTCTGTGAAGCTGGACCCCCTGGTCTTGTGTTCCCTGCCTTCCCACCTGCCTCTACCCCTCTCCACCTCCTAGCTGGCTGCAGCCCTGCTCTGCCTGGGTGCCCTCTGTGTACCCTCTCTCCATCCCTCCCATGGACTCCCCTCCCCCTGCCCCCTGCCAGCCCCACTCCCCCAGAGCATTTTCGAGTTTTTGGGGCAGTGGCAGTGCTCGAGTTTCCCACGCTGTCAAAAACCCGGCCATCCTCGGGCTTGCTGGCAGTGGCAGTGTCTAGTCACCTGGCTGCTCTCTCAGGTGACCCCCATCACCCCCGCCCTCTGTGGCAGTGCCCCGCTCCTTGCGCAGCCACCGCGCCCCGCCCCCTGCGCAGCCACCCCGCTCCCCGCCCTCTGCACAGCCACCTGCCTCTCCCCTTTGGTAGAGTTTGGTCCGCTCTCTGCTCATGTGACCTCATGGCTGTGCTCTGGATCCCCACACTGCCACCTGTCTCCAGTGGCAGTGCACTGGCATAGCCACAGTGACAGCCCATTGCCTTTGAGGCAGTCTGCTGTCTTGTGTAGCCACACTGTTGGTGCTCTGCCCCTAGGGCAGTCTGCCACTCTGTGAGCTGCTGCTGTGTGCTGTGTCATGTCCAGGGAGTCATGTGATGTGTGGCTGCGCTATGTCACATGCATATCACGTGACCGTCCTTTCAGTCATGTGACCGACATGTCACGTGATCCGTGGCTGCGCCCCAGGCACCATTTCTGCTGCGCTTTTTTGTGGCTGTGATGGGACCCTAGGCTTGGCTTCCTCTGTGATGTGATGGATCTGGCATTGCTTGCCCATGGCTGCCGCTCTCTGCTGGGTCTGGGTCTTTCCTCATCGTGCGCTGGGCCGTCTGGCCTCCTCTCTTCTGCTGCTTCCTCGTGTCCTTGGGTCCGTGCTCCTATGCCGCCAGGCTCTCCCTGCGCATCCAGGCCTACTTCTTGGTTGCTGCCCACGCTCGTTGTGCATTATTGCAGGTGGGCTGCAACCTTGAAGGGGGGATTGTCGATTGTCCCCCGTGACCATCTATTGGTCACTTGGCACCTGCTTCCCTGCAGGATCGGTTCGGATGGAGCATCCCTTGCTCTATCCCCAGCTGATTGTGATGTCGCACCTGGCGCAGCAGACCCTCTCCCTCCGTCCCATCATCTCCTCTGCACTCCTCCCTCTGTTCCCATCATCTCCGCCTTGGTCCATAACCTCTCCCCCCGCTGTCTCGCCTCTACGCACGTCTCCACGGGCATATACCCCCGGCTTTGGCCGGCGGAACATCCGCTACGTGCCTCCGCTGTTGTGCGAGGCCTTGCGCTAACCGTGTGATGGCTGGCCCCCTTGGCCGGCTTGTTACGTCTTGAGCGTCAGAGCAGTCGGTCCTTCTGTTGGCTCTGTCCCCCCTACGTGTGTCTCCATGGGCGTATACCCCCGGCTTCGGCCGGCGGAACATCTGCTACGTGCCTCCGCTGTTGTGCAAGGCCTTGCACTAACCATGTGATGGCTGGCTTGCTGTTGTGGCCGGCCTGTTACACCTTGGCTCCGGACATCCACGGCAGGTGGTAGACCCGTGCATCACCCGCCGACCCCATCTATTAGGTGGCTGGTGCACGCAACATCCCTCCCTTCTGCATCCGACACGTGCCTTTTTTTTCGGTTGCCTCTATTGCTGCTGTGCAGCTGGGACAACTGATTGGTGCGTCGAGGGCGCCGCACCTTGAAGGGGGGATGAAGGGGCAGTGGAGGGAAGCGACCGCAAGGGAGCTTCTCTCTACAAGTGGGACGACTTCAGGAGTCCTGGTTGCCCTTACAGGCACCTGAGCTTCTGGAAGGAGCAGAGCGACGACCACCCTGACCATAGGGAAGGTCGTGGTACAGCCACACATGCATAGCTGTGGGGCTGGACCTTAGAGCGGGACAGCGACCGACCACTAGGTCATAGGGAGCTGACACGCAGCTCAGTGACGACGCACCGGACGACAGAGTGGGACGCGCAGCATACCACTGGAGTAGTGCGTCCTTCTTTTTCCCCCACCCACCCTCCCTTTTCTTCCATCTGCTTTGCGCTGCCTACGTCGGGACGCCGTAGCTTGAAGGGGGGATGATGTCAGGGGACGCCGCGCTCCTTGGGCACGTGACCATGCACGTGACCCGCTGCGCCCTCTCTGCCGACCCGTGCCTGCTCACCTGTCGATCACCCAGCCTCCTCCTCCTCCTCCGATCCTCACCTCCATCCATGCCGACATCCGCCCTCTCCCTTCTTCCCCTGGCCATCTCCCTCGAATCCCCGCAAGCGGTCTAGCCAAGCCCGATTCCTTGCACCAGGGAGTGCTACTGCCGTACGCACTCCTCCCCCTCTACTTCGGCCTTCTTCCCGCGGATGTGGTCTACTGCCGTACAGGCTCGTACCAGATGCCTTGCGCTCATCCGTACCACCCCTCTTCCCAGTCGGGCATTGGTCCTCGCCTCCGATGCCTCCACTGGCCGGCCCGGCACTGGCCTGGCCACTGGGCTCCTCCAGTGTGGCCTTCCACTGTTGGTGTCTCAGGAGCTGGCCATCACTGGCCCCTCTGAGCCACTCACTATCTTATCTGGGTTTGTCATTATCTACTTGTCATCTGCCATTGTTCCATGGCAGTGATATCCCATCATCATCAGTCACTTGTCACAGCTGACTATATAGTGTGACACCTGGGCACATGGATCCTTGAACCGTTCTCTAAGGATCCCCCTCTGTGCTCAGACTCATGTGAGGTTGTTGTGTGCTGTGTGCTCTCTTCCTTCGGGCTGGCAGGAGTTGCCCTTACAGTAGACCTTGCAGTCCACCGCCTTGGAACCAGGTTTGAGCTCAATTGCGTGGTCCCATGTGCGTCTGTCTGGCAGCGAGTCAAACAATTCTTTTGCGAACACCTTGATGAATTCCCGGTATTGGTCCTGAACCTTCCCTTCGATCATTCTCTCCTTCTCCTTTTCCGCTTCTTCTGCGAACTTCTGCGCCAGCGTTTCTTTTAGCCGTAGATCAACCTCCTTCCCAAAGTCGACCAATAGGATTGATTCTCCTTCCTCCAACTCTGATGCACATGTGTCCAGGTTAACTGAGTCCATATCTACCATCGCCTGGTGCTCCTCGTGACCCCTCATGTTACACTGTTCTGGACATCGGCTGAATCTCATTGTCTGCTCTTGCCAGTCCACCTTGGGGTTATTCTCCGTCAGCCAATCAAGGCCGATGAAGATCTGCGCTTTTCCCAAGCACATCAGGAGGAACGTGCGTGTTTCCACATGAGGGCCAATTCTCATCCTCAAATCAACATAGTGGGTGATCCAGCCACTGTAAGGGCAACCTCGAGACCCGATCTCAGAGTTCTGGCAAGGGAGAATCCAAAGGTGATTAATAGTGGTAGCTAGGTACAAGACCGGCATACCTGGCAAGGGAGAATCCAAAGAGAAACCGTGTTGGGGATTCTCCTTGCCAGGCGCCACTATTTATATGATACAAGAACAATGGAGCACGCAGCAACAAACAAAGAACAATGGGGATAATAAGTACAACGGCCATGACAGAACAATGGGAGCGGGGACAATAGGAACAATGGGGCACCTGGCCATGTGCCCATCAAGGAGAAGCGCTCAGCGCGGCAGTCCGGGCCGCGGTACGTGACAGCTGACAGGTCACGCGAGCGCAATCACATGCTTGATCGAAGGCAGAGCGGTCCGAAACGGGGGTTCCCCTGACATCACCCCCCCCTTGGATTGCGGCGCCTCGACGCAACGTGCAGATGGTGGCAGAGGGGTGCTGGAACGGAAGGGAGTCGAAGATGGCGGCGGCAATGATGCGTGGCTTGTTGGGGTGCTTGCGGTAGAATGCCGCTATAGTGTCCTCTGCAAAGATATCAGAGTGCTTAACCCATTGGTCATGCGACGAATCGTAGCCCTTCCACCGCACAAAGTACCAAATGCTCCAATAGCGCATCTTGGCATCCAGAACCTCTTCGACTTCCCACTCCTCGCCAGCTCCTTGGCCCATGACAGGTGGCGGCTCCTCGCGAGCCGGGCGTGTTGGGAACGGGTTGTCCTCGACGAGCTGCAGCTTGACGACGGGGAAGACCGGGTGAAGACCAGAGAGGCGGCGAGGGAGGTCAAGCTTGTAAGCGCCGCGCCCAACAACCTGGGTGACTTTGAAGGGACCCAGCCGTCGGTGAGAGAGTTTGAGGGATGGGCGCGTTGTTGCTATGTCAGAAGCGTCAAGCCAGACTCGATCTCCGACCTTGATGTCTGGAGCCGAGACCCTCCGGCGGTCGTAGTACTGCTTGTACTCGTCCTTTGCCTTCACCAGTGCCGACTTGGCCTCTGCCACTCCAGACGCGATGCGGTCGCGGAAGTCGTTTGCCGACTCGTTCACAGTTGAGTGTGGTCCATTCGGCTCGAAGCCCATGCGAGGGAGTCGACCGGTGTCGGTCATGAACGGGACCTGCTGCGTGGATGAGTGAATATGGTTGTTGTAGGCAAACTCGGCAGCGGGAAGCAGCTCGTCCCAGTCGTCCTGGTTGTAGCTGGTGAAGATCCGGAGGAACTGCTCGAGCTCCTGGTTCACACGCTCGGTCTGGCCGTCCGTCTGTGGATGCCAAGCCGTAGACATTGCCGATGAGACCCCGACCAGTTTCCACAGCTCCTGCGTGAACTCTGCTATGAACTGGGAGCCACGGTCAGAGACATACTTAGACGGCAGCCCATGGTGGCGCCAGACGTTCTTGTAGAAAAGCCTGGCGGCACCTTCGCCGGAGAGCCGGGTGTGGCACTCTATAAAGTGGCTGCGCTTCCCAAGCATGTCAACCACGACCATGATAGCATCATACCCGTGAGCGTCTGGCAGATGCACAATGAAGTCAACTGACACCGCTTCCCAGCACTCCGAAGGGACCTCCGTGGGGTGGAGTTCCCCGATTGGGAGTTGGCGGAGCGCCTTGGTTCGGCAGCACAGGTCGCAGGTGGCCACATACCGGCCGACGTGTCGAGACAACTGGGGCCACCAGTAGTTCCGAGAGATCAGCTCCAACGTCTTGAAGCGGCCGGCATGCCCTGCGACGCGGGTGTCGTGGTGCTGCTCGAGGATGCGTCGGCGGAGGTCGTTGTTGCGTGGAACCACCAGCTTGCCACGGAAGTAGAGCAGGCCGCCTTCTTTTCGCCACTCCGCAGCCCGAGCAGAGCGAACTCCGCGTTCCTTGAGGAGCTCACGTGCTGCCAACACAATGGGCTCCTCCATGTCGGGGGTACCGGCGAGGGCCTCCCGGATGTTGCGCAGGAGAGGGGCTTTGGGTCCAGAGACAGTGAGACCCTCCAAGGCCCGGACGTGGAACAGCTCCGGGCGCAGCAGTGTGACGTCTGCGTTGTCCGAAGCGACTCCGTGGTCGGGGCGGCGCGAGAGAGCATCCGGGCGGCCCATGAGGCGGCCAGGTTGGTGGTGGGGGGGTGAAGTCGAAGCGAGACAGGTAGAGGGACCAGCGGGCTTGACGACGGTTGAGATTCTGGGCCTTCCGGAAGTACTCCAGATTTTTGTGGTCGGTCCAGATCTCAACGGGGTGCTCGGCGCCCTCGAGGAAGTGTCGCCACTCCTCCAAGGCGCGGACGATGGCGAGCATCTCCTTGTCGTGGATTTCGTAGTTCTGCTGGACCTCGTTAAGACTCTTCGAGAAGAAGGCAACCGGATGCCACTTGTCATCCACGGGGGACTGCTGCGAGATGACAGCACCGGTCGCAAAGTCCGAACTGTCCGCTTCGAGGCGGTAAGACCTGGAAGCATCCGGGAGCTGCAGGACTGGGGTAGAGGTAACGGCGTTCTTCAGCGCAAGAAACGCAGCCGCCTCGTTGGCGCCCCAAGTCCATGCCACATCCTTCTTGGTGAGGTCAAAGAGAGGACGGGCAATGTGCGAAAAATCCCGGATGAACCTCCGGTAGAAGTTAGTGAAGCCGAGGAACTGCTGCACTTCCTTCTTGTTAGCCGGAGCTGGCCACTCCGCCACACCTGCGACCTTGACCGGGTCCATCTCCACATGGTTGTGGGAAATGATCACCCCGAGGTATTCGATCGACGGCATCTCGAACTCGCATTTCTCCGCGCGAAGGTAGAGCTTGTTCTCGCGGAGACGTCGGAGGACTTCGTTCACGATTTCCCGGTGACGGTGGATATCGGAATGTGCGATGAGAATGTCGTCGAGGTACACCATAACGTCGCCAGAGAGGATGAGGTCCTGAAGTATGTCATTCATCATCGTCTGGAACGTTGCGGGGGAATTGGTCAGGCCAAAATACATCACCAACGGCTCAAAGAGCCTGCGGTTTGTCCGAAACGCTGCCTTCCACTCGTCGCCTTGACGAATGCGCATGTTGTTGAAGCCCCAGCGAACGTCGAGTTTGGTGAAGAACCGAGCTCCCTTGAGCTTGTTGATGAGATCATTGATCAGGGGGAGCGGGTAGCGGTTCTTCACTGTCATCGTGTTTAGTGCTCGGTAATCTTGGACAAACCGTAAGCTGCCGTCTTTCTTCTTCACAAAGAAGACGGGAGACGCCATGGGCGATTTTGACGGCCGAATCCTGCCAGTAGCCATGCCCTCCTCGATGAAGCTGTCGAGCTGCTTCTGTTCAAGAGGGGAGATGGGGTAGACCTTACAGTTGGTCGGCTTTGCGTCGGGAACCAGTTCGATGGCGTGATCCCAGGGGCGTCGCTCTGGCAGGTTGTCGAAGGACTCCTTGCTGAAAACATCTTCGAACTTGCGGGCCCACTCGGGGATGGAATCCCGAGGAGGTGCAGAGTTCTTGGCAAACGCCTCGGCGAGTCGCTGAGAGACGGTGCTGGTGGCTCGGATGTTTTCAGAAGGGTTGAAGCGGGTGTAAAAGATACGGTCACCGGCTTCCAAGGAGTCGTCACCTTCTTCGACATCTTCAGGGTCATAATCGTCCGAGTCTGGCGAAAGCTCCGGCATCTCTTCGTCCTCGTGGTCCTCAACGTCGACAGCGCAGATGGATGGAACCGGACCTTGTCTGATGGTGCGAAGCACCCGGGCCGCGGTTCTGGCAGATCGACGTTCTTCGCGAAGTTCCTCTCGGCAGGTGGAGCAACCGGAAGGGCAACGGCTCATCTTTACCTCCTGGGTATCCCAGTTGATCTCCGGGTTGTGCTTCCGGAGCCAGGAGTACCCTAGAATGAGCTGCTGCTTGCCTAAACGGGTGACAGCAAGCTGCACGCGTTCACTGTGGCCCTGGTAACGGAGAACCACATCAGCAACTTCGCGAATGGAACCGGCCTCGTTCGGCGTGCCGTCCACATTGTAAACGGGGATAGGCTGGGTGAGGCGACAAACGGGGAGGTGATTTTCGAGGACGTAGGCCGAGTCGATGAAGTCGGATGTGGCACCACAATCGACCAGGCCTTTGAGAGATAACTTCACTGCGTTGTTGGTGGACTCGATCTCGAGAGGGAGGTGGAGAGAATTGGCCCCGGGAGAGGCGGCAGCGATATAGCAGGAAGGGAGCTTGCGTTCCCACTTCTCCTTACGGACTCGTGGGGTTAGAGGGGGAGCAGGGTGTACGTCTATCGCTTCAACTGTTGCAGAGTGGAGGGAATTGGATTCATCATACAAACAGGAGAAACAATTACGTGAAGCGAACGAGGGCGTACTACTCACTCGTCACTGGGGAGAAAACCCTGCTCCTCCTCGGCTGCGACGTTGGACGCATGATCCGCAACGGCTGCAGTGGTCGCGACCCGAGCAACCAACTCGGAAAGCAGATCACTCCCCAGCTGATTGATAACCTCATCGAGGACATCGGTGTGACGAATATCAGCTGGGGTGGGGCAGTCACGGGCAAGATGGCCCGGACTGCCGCAGCGGAAGCAGGTGCGGCGAACGTCACTGCGGAGCCGGGTCCGATCCAACTCCATGGGGATGGGGTGGGCAACAGGAGCCGGCGCCGGGCGAGCAGCAATTGCCAGTGCTACAGCAGGGAGCACCGGGGCACGAGGACGAGGGACGATAGGAGGCGCTCGGGGGGGAGGGACGTGGCCTCGAGACGCCTTGGCAGCTTGTTCCGCATTGTACTGCCGGAATGCACGGACATGCCACTCGGCGTAGTCAGTAAGCCTGGGAGGGTTGCCAGAGGTGGTGATAGCCTGGTTGATCTTCGGATCCAGGCCCGTCCTATATTTGGTCACCTTGACCAGATCGTCGGTATAGCCGGCGAGATCAAGGAGGTCGTCGTATTCGTCCGTGTACTTGAACACGTCACGGGAGCCCATATAATACAGATGGGTCTCCAGTCGCGCCAGGGCGTGGTCTTGCTCGTTCTCCTCGACGAATCGGAGCTTGAACTCGGTGACGAAGAGAGCCCAAGTAGGGAACGGGAATGGGGTGCGCTCGGACATGCGCTCGGACCAGGAGGCCGCGGAGTCCTTGGACATGTAGGACAGGGCGAAGCGGACTACCTTTTCTTCCGAGACTGCCCCATTCACAAAGAACGCCTCAGGAAGCAGACGCCAGTACTGCTTCACTGAATGCAAGAAGCTCTTGCCCAGGGTGCGATCCCCATCGAAGGAGAAGGGGGGATTCGGGCGGATAAGGGGGCGCGCAGGGCTGGCGCCAGTAGGAACACCTGGACCCGCTGCCGGAGCTGGAGCAGGGGCAGGGGCAGGGGGTTGTTGTTGTTGAGAGATGAGGCGGGTGAGTACGGCCTCGATGTTCTGTATGCTGGTCTCCAGAGCAGACAGCCGCTGCTGTTCGTTGTCATCCATGCTCATCGGGTCTGCTCGTGGAGGGGAGGAGGGGGCAAGATAGGAGGTGAGGGAGTGGTGGTCTTGGTCGCTCGTTGACTCTTCTCCACTGGCGTCAGCGTCGAACCTCGCAATCTTGTCCGGTTATCCCTAGGAACACGGTTTCTGCTGTAAGGGCAACCTCGAGACCCAATCTCAGAGTTCTGGCAAGGGAGAATCCAAAGGTGATTAATAGTGGTAGCTAGGTACAAGACCGGCATACCTGGCAAGGGAGAATCCAAAGAGAAACCGTGTTGGGGATTCTCCTTGCCAGGCGCCACTATTTATATGATACAAGAACAATGGAGCACGCAGCAACAAACAAAGAACAATGGGGATAATAAGTACAACGGCCATGACAGAACAATGGGAGCGGGGACAATAGGAACAATGGGGCACCTGGCCATGTGCCCATCAAGGAGAAGCGCTCAGCGCGGCAGTCCGGGCCGCGGTACGTGACAGCTGACAGGTCACGCGAGCGCAATCACATGCTTGATCGAAGGCAGAGCGGTCCGAAACGGGGGTTCCCCTGACAGCCACTGATGTTCTCGGTGTTGTCGGCGTTACGGCCCATGATGGGTTGGGGGAGTTCCTGGATATCCAATCTTTCTGCCCGCGCGTAGTCAGTGTCGATGCAACAGGTACTGCAACCGCTGTCGAGCAGTGCCTTAACCCAGTGCGTCCTCCCAGAGTCTAGGCCTGTGATCTGGACATATACATCCATCGAATGCCTCTTCCTCTCTGCCTGGTAGTTGCGCAACTCCTGCGCCAACCTACTGGGCTGAGGGCCCTTCTGTTTCTTGGCTGCTGATCTCCTCTGAACAGCATCTGGCACCCTTGTGCGCCTGGGTGCTTCTGCAACCGTGACTTCCATCGATTCTTTAGGCGCTTCCTCCTTTTCCAAGGATTGAGCCTTCGGAGCGGTGCTCCCCTTTTCGGTCTTTGTTGACGTGGTTCCTTCTCCATGAGCCATAAATACGTAAGAGTCCAATGATTTGTCCGCAGTCTTTTGATCCTTTTTGTCTTGTATATACTTTTTATTTAAAGCTATTTTTATTTGTCGTTCTTTTTCCATATCAGCAATCAGAAAATCATGAATATTTGTGCGTAGTGAGTCGGAGATTGTGTATGTAGGTGAGATATTGTCCGTATCTTTAATAGAAACCAGTATAGAAAAACGTCCATAGTCCGGGCACTCCACCTCCTTGGCTAGAGGAGTGGAGCGCTTCAAAAACCCTTCTCGCGCAGCTTCTCGGCGATCTCCTTGAGGAACTCGTTGTCCTTGTCCCCGTTCTCGATCTCTTCTAGCATTGTGGCCCGATTGAAGAATGTGCACTTCTTCTTGGGCTCTGGACAGTTCCGCGCAATGTGCCCGGGTTGCTGACAATTATAGCAGATGATATTACGGCCGCGGGCGTGGGTGCAATCAATCTCCATTGGAACCGGTTCATTGGTTGTTGGTCGGGTTGGAGCAGGTGTAGGTGCCGCTGGCGCAGCCTGAGGGCGGAACTGGGGGGGCCGCGGGGTCGAATGCGCATAGGATGCCTTACGCAGCTGGTCGCGCAAGGCATTGGCCTTGATGTTGACACACCAGTTCTTGAAAGCGCCGTATGCCTTGGGCAGGGGAACACCGGTGTTGTAAAGGCGACTCGCAATCTTGCTGCAGAGCCCGCGCTCAAGAAACTCAATGAGGATATTGTCTTGATCCCCCTTCTTGTATTCGCCCTTGCTGTCAGTGGTGGTGACCACATTGTACCCCGCGTCCGCAGCCAGCATCTCGAAGTCAGAGATATAATCTGCGAAGGACCGTCTGCCCTGGCGAAGGGCCATGAGTCGGGCGGCAGCGACTTGTTCTGCGTTAGAATCCCCAAAGGCCCTCTGGAGCTCCTCCAAGAAGCTTGTTGCGGTGACTCCTGCCTTCAGTCCTTGGAAGCCATCAAAATTGTGCTGCTTCCAGTTCATTGCCCATCTCGAGGCGGCGCAGCTTGTGCCGGTTTCATTACGGAGGTAGGAAAGGACGAAGAGGATTTTTGTCTTGTCCAGCACAAACTCCAATTGGTAGGCACCAATGTAAGTGGTACATGTGTCCACAAAGCCCAGATATTTGGACTTGTCCCCATCAAAGTAGGGGGGGTTGGCGGCGAGGGTGATGCGATGGTGACCTGACATGGTAGGAGCAGGTGTGGTGGATGGGGGTGGCTGTTCAGAGGGCAGCTTGTTGAGGTCAGGGATCTCGTCTTCAGGCAGTGGGAGGGCGAGGTAAGGATTGGAGGGCCCTGGTTGGTTTTGATGCGCCAGATCGGGCGACGATGGTAGGATGGGAGGAGGGGATGGACTCCCAGACGAGGATGGGAATCGGAACGAAATGGTGGATTTGTGTGCTGCGCAAGCACTCGAGGAGGGGTTCTCTTGCTAGCAAAAAGATCCCGGGCCTATCTCTTCACGTGCCCGATGATCCCCAGGTGCATTTTCCCGAAGGTCTCCGCAGCACTCCTTGTAGCGACTGTGGAGCTTGGGTCGGGCTCAACGTTACCCGTAGCCCAGTGCAGTTTGCTTGATATGAACCCTTCTCTGTGATCACAGAGATCGACTAGATGATTTGGTAGAAAGATAAGTGAGTTGATAAGGATGAAGAGGATATAGCGGGCGTAGCGGTGAGGAATGCAGCGGTAAGAGGTATGAGGTAGGAGGGTATGAGGGCAGTCTTGGAATTATGTGACAATCAACACAGAATATGATCGAAAAGACAAGTCAATTCCAAGACTGGAGAATACAACACAATAGCTACTGTATTTATACTAGGTCCAGTCTGAGCCTTATCTACATCAAACGAGTCATCCAACTATGTACCGTATGGAGCTTTGGTCATGGGTTGTAGTATAGACTTCTGGAGCACATGCCATGCGACCTCTTGTGCAGATAACCCTCTTGAACCCTAAACCCGGACCGTGTGGTGCCGTGATCCATGATAAGATAGTCCCATGTCAATGATAAGATAAGGTGATTGATGGAATGATTGTGAAAAATGATTGAATCATGACAAACAAAGTCAATAAGCAGAGGGAATTCCAAGACCGGAGAATACAACACAATAGCTACTGTATTTATACCAAGTCCAATCTGAGTCATATCTACATCAAACAAGTCATGAGACTATGTACCATGTGGAGTGTAGTCATGGGTCATAGTAGAACTTTCTGGAGCACATGTTGCACAGCCTCTGTACAGATAACCCCTTTGAACCCCTAACCCAGACTGTGTGGTGCTGTGATCTGTGATAAGATAACCCAATGTCAAGATAAGATGATCAATTGATGAAATGATGTAAAAAATGATTGAATTATGACATGCAGAGCACCACTTCTCACATCCATAAAGTTTTATCTACTGCCCTAACAGGAAAGAACCACTGAAATCGAGAACCTGACACATCTAGCTGTAAGGGCAACCTCGAGGCCTGATCTCAGAGTCCTGACAAGGGAGAGTCCAAAGCGTCAGATAAGGGGATCGACTAGTACAGGAGACTGGCAAACCTGACAAGGGAGAGTCCAAAGAGAAACCGAGTTGGGGACTCTCCTTGTCAGGGCCCACTATATATAGCCTACAGAACAATGGATGACCAAGCACAATGGAAGCGCCAGACAATGGGGCCAGGGAACAATGAGGGGCCGGATCGGGGGGAACAATGGGAGCCGGACTGTCGGAACAATGGGGGTCCGGGCCGGAGTGTCATGTGGGCGCGCTTGGCAGGGAAGTCCGGACCGAAGCATGTGACGCTTGACAGATGGCACGTGCGTGGTCACATGCGAGATCCCATGATGATCGGACAAAAGCAGGGGTTCCCCTGACACTAGCATTATTTGTGCTTGGGCTTCAAGTCCTAAATAAAGTCCGGGTCTCTTGAGGCTAGCCAGCACAACTGATAGGCTAAAGGGAGCCTTAGTTCCGGCCGCTGCGTTGCAGGTCCCAGTTCTGGGCATGCAACCTGGGTATTTCCGTTCAGTTTAACAAATATGGAGACTGACAAGTAGATATTCTGAGTTGTGGTTCATCATCTTCATCCTGTAATGTTCATCTAGGTCATATCCAACACAATAAAGTCATGGGAGAGTGTAAGGGCAACCTTGAGGCCCGATCCCAGAGTCCTGACAAGGGAGAGTCCAAAGCGTCAGATAAAGGGATCGACTAATACAGGAGACTGGCAAACCTGACAAGGGAGAGTCCAAAGAGAAACTGAGTTGGGGACTCTCTTTGTCAGGGCCCACTATATATATCCTACAGAACAATGGATGACCAAACACAATGGGAAGTGCCAGACAATATGGCCGGGGAACAATGAGGGGCTGGATCGGGGAGAACAATGGGAGCCAGACCATCGGAACAATGGGGGGCCAGGCCAGAGGGTCATGTGGACACGCTTGGCAGGGAAGTCTAGACTAAAGCATGTGATTCCTGACAGATGGCACGTGTATGGAGGCTCAGAAGGCCCTGCTCACAACCAAGACAGTTGACATTGATGGCAAGTGATCTAAGACCCCAGACTTTATGTACGTACATAAGTAGCGAGGCCCTGCTGAAGATGCGCATAGTGACTTCTCAGTTACAGTTGGGTGATCATAGGACCTGTAAAATTCCCACTAAATGTTAGCCCCCTGTTGGACCATTTTTGGCGGGGAGAGATTAGCCCAAATGAGTCAGGTGTTAGACAAAAATTGCAGCTCCATTCGGCGATACAAAAGTCACGGGGTTACAAAAATTAGCCCCAGTCCAGTCTGGTCTGACCCCAAATTACCCAAATAGATCAATTTTTATTGATTGGTGCTTCAATCGAGACACTTGTTCAATTCCGGACTATATTTAGAGTAGTTTGTGTAAAATCAATTGTAAATCATTTGCTGATTGGAGGTCAGGTATGGCGCGGTTCATTTAGTTTTGAGGTAAGGTGAATTTTAAGCACATCAAAAAACCGGATTTTGGGTCCTGGTGACCAATGACCAACAGTTAGGTTTGGGTTGTAATAGTACACTAGTTTTAGCAATGAATATTTTCCTCTTTCCAGTCGCTTCCTTTTCATGAGAGGAAGAGAATGGCTAGAGGGATAAGCCCAAAATAAATTGCGGAGAGAGTAGAAATTTCCAGGTAGGGCAAAACCAGCAGGCCCGTCAACTATGAATATTATACTAGTCAGAAGCCTGAACTACGGTCTCTGGGATGCGATGATGCAATTTGTGTACCTGCAAACTAACTTCCAAACCCCGAGTTGTGTCAGCTGCATCTCCAATCCCTTCCAATATGTGTCCATCCACCAAATCAATGATCATCCTGTGTTTGTGATCTTGAGACGGTGTGTGATCAATTATTGTTGCTGGCTGGCAAGCCTGTGGATGTTGCTTTGCCCGAGCACAAGCAGCGGCAGCGCTTTGTGCGTTTGTTAGCAGATGAGTGATGTGTTATGTGCCTTTATCCTCAATTCTCACATTCAGCATCATTTCAGGCTAGAAAACGGGATGTATAGAAAGAAATCTCCTCCGGCTGATTTGGCAGTCTTTTCCCAAGTAGTGGTCTCTAAGTCGACCACACCATACGGGTTGGGCAAAAATCCGGGGCTTAAACCCGATGTGCGTTAGAATTAACATTTGAAAATGTACGTAAACTTAGCATGTCATCGTGCGCATGGGGTCCTTACATTGCCTATCAACGTCAACTGTCTCAGTTGTGAGCAGGGCCTTCCGAGCCTCCATACACATGCATCGTCACATGCAAGATCCCATGATGATCGGACAAAAGCAAGGGTTCCCCTGACAGAGAGGTTTGTTTTTGTGGCCATCACACTGTTTGAAACAACATTTTAGGTGTAGTGCGCAAATGATGCAGGAGTGGGTCTAGGGATCAGACTTGACATCTGACAAAAATCGGTGCTCTACAGTCTTGCTGATAGTTAATCAGCTACATTGTGCATGCAATGGGCCAATTTACAATGAAAGGTAAGGTTGGAAGCAGCCAGGAGAAGTTGCTCTGTAGAATTGTTCTCATGTGCGGTGCTCTTTAATACAGACAATAAATTCGATGTAAAATGTGAAAGAGTCTTACAAGTCGGATTGCAGAAGAAACCGAACTTTCCGAACAGTGAGCCTGTCCATCACTTGAACTGGTCATGAACTGCGTCACGCGTGATGTAGAAACCATGATTGAGTGATCGGAACAGACGGCCGTAACAAACTGGATCATGAATAAGCCGTGATATATCACGGCCACGCATTGTCCATTTTTTAGCTTCAGTATCCACCGGCTGTGCTCTGGAAACACGATGTGCTCTAAAATAAATGCTGTAGTTTGAACCCGGACCTCTAACCCCCAGTCTATTATCTAAAATCTTGTCAGTCTCGCGATCTCCCGTTCAAGATCCCCGTTCATTCTCTCCTCACGCCACAGTTTTCCAACCTGAATGGCATTTTGCGTCAGGATATGGCCTCTAGATCCTTTGAGATCATTGAACGTTTTCTGGAACTCTATCTTGGCGTCTTCGACTGTTCCTGTGATCGTGGGCGCCTCCGGACGGAGAGATGGCCCCAGCTGAGTACCAGCTCGGATCTACACATTGTGAATGACTACCATCACGTATCTCGGTCACGACAATACCTGGAAAAGTTCTATTCCAATCGGACGGGGACCTGTCGAAAGTACAGCTGCATTGATAGCCTGCTCTGCTCCGATCGGCCAGAAGATGAGGGGAATATTTTGACTGAGCGCTTCGGTCAGCGAGCTAGAAATCTATCATCAATATTCTGTTCATCGGGGACCTGAGTGGTACTGACTTGTAGCCCCCATGAGTCAGAAACCAGCCAACTGCGCCACTTTTCAAGACGGCTTTCTGATCGACCCAATGTGAGCATGCGACTCCTCTACCACTAGCGTGGATGCGATCGATCGTCTCTTGAGGCAATGAAGCCATCTTTCCAGCCAGCACGAAAACGAAGGGAATCACTGTCTCCAGCTGCAACAGCACGTCTATCATGGCCTCGACCAAATTGGGCGTCTCCACTGGGAAGAACAATGAACTGAAAGTGGTTTAGTACGCACTATTGATCTCGAAGAGATGTTTCGACGCACCCAAAAGAGATATACAACACTGATTTTGGCCCGTATTTCTGGCGTGCGCCGTCCAAAAATGTTTTGATTTTCTCATCGCTAGGACCCGGACCAGCGGATGGCGCGTCCCATTCATCGTCGTGCATTTGAGGACCGACGAGGAATAGTTCTTGTCCCCGTTTCTTGTAGTAATCTTGACAGAGAGGAGTTGTGACTGGCTCCAGAGGGATCCCGCTCGGGCAGAAGAAGCCATCGGCTAACCGACCCAACTTGTTTGCAGATATCAAAATGGGAGCGAGTACGCGCGGTGGTCCAGCGCCCTGTGCTTGGTGCTCATGATCGTATATCTTCAATCCGCCAATGATCTCGATGATACGCCCGTCTAGTTTGTCGCTGCCATTCATGGCGCAGAGGACCTGTGCAAGGTGGGATCAGAAGCTTTTCATGGGCGATGAACACGACACGCACATCGCCGCGAATTTCATCGTCCGTTCTTCCCGCTCTTCTGCTCTCGTCAGCGCATATTTCTTGCGCGATTTTCGTGAAGTTGTATTCGCTGAAATGGTCCACGCCAGATGTGACGGAAGATGAGAACCAAACGAGAATCTTTCCTTCCGGTCCAATCATCGCCCTCGATTCTTCGACAACTAAACCCCCTCCAAAAAAGTCCATCTGTAAAGGAAAATGAGCCCCTGGTTGGGCCTAGAAATCATACGAACATGCAACGTCTTCGGCTTGGGCCAATTGCCTTTCTCAGCGACTGCATCTGCGAGGATCTCCAGCCATCCAGCTGTAAGTTGGCTGATCATTGTTCCGACAATCATCGGGGTAAATTGAATCCTGATTGTTTCGATAAGGAGATTCCAAAATGGGTACAGAGACTTACTCCTTCTCTCCTACACCCGCGATTTGTAACCGACTAGTATCGTAAGAACAGGTTTTCAATTCTTCGAGCATTTTCGGTACTACAAAGATTGATATTAGACATCAGGGATGTTCAAGCACGAACACAGACCGACGATGTTGTGCTGAACAATTGTCACAACCAAATCTGGATCAGCAGCCAGCATTCGAGTTGTGAGGTGCATGTAAGGCAGTGCATGACCCCAAGCTGGAGCGAGAAACGTCAAGATGTGTCGAGAGGGCATGACACGATTCCAGGGCCGTGTGTGAATATCCTAGAGACCTCAATCCTCCGTGCTTTATATCTGCAACGGAGCTGTCACCGAACGACCGGCAAAAAAAAAGCGCTTGTAGTTACCAAATGATGTTTGGTCACCGTCATGTTCTGGTGTAATGGTAACCTCATGCATTGGGTGACGCGTTCCGTGTGCGGTCCTTCGGTTCGTGAGATACCCGCAACTTCGATGATGAGTGCAGGATGTAGTACTGATAATGGGCCGGGCAAACCGCCAGTGTTACTGGTATAAGCGTCCTATCGACGCAATCATTTGATCCTCCAATGGGCTGAATATTCATGAGTCAGCTTCGCTGGAGAAACGGAGTCCGGTAGACATTGCGTTCGCAATCTGGCTGAGGCTGATGATGATAATCGTGTAAGAAACGTAATCTGGCAAACATTGCACTCCCCAAGGCCGAGGTTGATCGTTATCGGGCCACATGTCCTAGCTGCGGGACTCGCGGGCGTGGGCATCCCGACGCCTGATCGACACCACTATGGTTCGAAATAGGACCTCCGCGTGTCGCACTGGGGGCATCCCTTGGTCTCCGCAAGTTTTGCCGTCGAAGCGAGAGAAGATCTCGTCTCAGACTGATTGGTCAGACTGTTGCCGGGCCGAGTCCTCACAAATAATTGGTTCTTATCACCACGCACAATATCTTCAGGAAACGTTCATCTAAACCGAGCAGAGCAGACTACTCGTTCTGTAAGCAACCCTAGTGGTAGGAATAAGCCTTCGCGCATGGATCTACCCACAATTCAATATGCCTTCCGGGCCAGTTCTACCCACGGGCTGTGGGTAGAACCAGGACATTTGGGTTTGGTTTCAGTGGGAATTGAACTGATGACCTTCTAAAAAAGAAGGCCCTGACCAATGCATTATCACACTGGGCCAAACTGGCTGTAGGTTAAAAGCATTGTCCCTTGACAAGATGTGACGATGGGCCTTACTGTCTTAAACAAACCGCGCCCCTCTGGGCGCGGAGGTTAGCGGTTCGGGCTCGGGTTCGGGTTGGGGCTAAAGGTTAGTCCCCAAAGATGTCATTTTCTCTCAGTAATGGTTGGGAGAAGGTAGCAAAAAAAAAATAAGACCTGATATAGGCTCAGTTAGGGTTGGTTAGGGTTGGTTAGACTCAGAAATATGTTTATTGGGTTGTTAGGGTTTGAAATAACCAATACTAGGATAAAGCTTTCCCTCCACTTAGGGTAAGCCGCTTGCGGGTTACCCTGGGTGGAGGGAAAAAGTGGGAAATCTACATCGGCTGTTTAGCTCAGCTTGTTCATGCACTGAATTTGAATCATTTTTACAAGGTCAGTAGTTCAATCCTCACTGAAACCAATATGCAATTTTCTGGTTCTACCCAGTGGACGGGTAGAACCGGCCCCGAAGGCATCTGAAATTCTGGGTAGATCCACGACAAGAAGCCTTTAGATTACGGTATAGGCTCCTAAGTACATATGTCGCTCGAATCCCTTCAAACAATATACATCTCCGAAATCGCAGACAGGCAATGCATCGTTTTCTTTATCTCTTGATGGGTTTGTGCCACTTCAAGATCTTCTTTCCGCACCTTGCGTTCTATTGGCCCAATCCATAAGCCTATCCCAGCCATCAGTCGCGCCAGGTCAGGATCCGACAGCCATCCGGCCTCACGCTCATAGCAGCGAACGCCGCGGATAAACTTTCCCTTCGATTTCATCATTTACAGTCACAAGTTCGAATCATATATCCGTTGTAGTATCCCAAAGATCCATTCGTGAAAAGCTCATTAATCGAGGGCACGTGTGACTAGTGGAACTCGCCGACGGCCTGCGGAAGGTGGATCAGCCGCGGAGACAACGAGAGCACGGTCGCGCAACGCACCGGTCCAAATGTCCCATTGACAGGAACCGTGAGACGCGTGCATCCATTCGCGTCGCAACCCTCGAACGGCCTGTTATTTCCCGACCAATCGATCACCACATTCGGCCATTGGACGGCAAAGAAGATGACGATGGCGGAGATGGCGATCGCAGCGGAGAACGCCGTAGTCGTGATGCTGTTCGGAACTCTAATTAGACTAGTTCTCGAAGCGACAGAATGGGAGGACGCACTAGTTGTACTTGCCCCACCATGCGAGGTACCGTTTCTTGATGAACACATTGAACAGCCACGCGACGGGAACAGCCGGCCAGATGTTCGCGATGCTCCCCGGGGCCCAGATGAGTCCGCCGTAGATGATGACCGGCAGATGGACGTGTTCGAGAGAGCGGAAGCGTTTGCGGAGGAAGTAGAATGGAATGGGCAGAGCAGCACCGATGAGGAAACAGTACAACAGGCTGTTGTAGATGCCGCCTTGACCGAACATCCGTTTCGGGCCCAGAGTGCCCTATCGAAAGACAGGACGATAATCAGTAACAGTGTGTTTGAGGGACTGATCGCCCTACCCAGAGTACGCTGGCAGTGAAGAATGTGTTGATTCCTGGGCAGATGAAGTGGTCGACCTGGTGCGGCGTGCACACGTCCGGAATCTTCGTCATCTGGAAGTTCAGGATCGCTGTGCAGATGAAGGAGGAGACGACCGTCGCATAGATCTGGGCCCAGAATGTCGCCACCGGGGGAATGTGCATGTAATGGGCCAGTTTGAGATCTTGCGCAAAGTTGAGCGTGTGGGCGGTGGTGACGTAACCGTAAGATTTGAAGTAATTCATGGCCACTGCGTTTCCGGGGAACCAAAGACCGCCAAAGAGCTCGGCTAGCACGTTTAGCGTGATCTGAACGTTGGTGATCGACTGCGAAAAGGAGTTTGAGCGAATATGGCTAAAGATCCGAAGTCAAGAGTCCGACTGACGTAAATGATTCCGATGGGAATGACGAAGATGGCCGCCAGAAAAACGCCGTAGAGAACAACAGCAGGGGAGGTTTCGGTGGCGTATGCACCAACTCCGGCTGCTCCGAGGCCGATAGCCGCGACCAAGATCCTGGGATTGTAAATCTTGTGCCAGATCCAACATTCGAGACGACAAACTCACATGAAATACTGCCACTCTCCGACTTCTTTGTATTGCTCCATCAGCCTGACATGAACATCCCTGTGCATATCAGACGTCTTTCGGCCGAAGCTCAGGATACTCTTGAATCCGTGCAACATGTCCCGGCGATGGTACAAGATCGCATGTGAGAGCGTCGCGGTATAAACGGCGAAAAAGACACCGTAGATGATGATGTTCGCCGCAGCGAGGCTGCGAGGTATCAGACTGATGTGCACACATGAGAGTTCGATCACTCACTAGGCCGGCGAGTAGTTGTCGTAGAGCTGCGCGTCGAACAATGTGTCAGGGCCTACAGCTCGACTAACGTTGTAAAAGTTTCCAGTGTTGTCAAACACGCGCTGAGCCCATGAGCTACAGAGTTTGAGTGGAAGTTCCAAACTCACATTGGAGTTGATCGGTAGATAACCGGTGTTCCAGGTGTTGGTGTACCAGATCGCAACAATGACGGGAAATGTGATCATAGTCTTCGAGCAGATCAGTTTCTATGGGCTGCTCAAAAGCGGGGAGACCCACCCCAACGAAAGTCTTTTGCACAAATCAATTGTGATGTTAGTCGTCATAAGCACACCTGCCAAAAGCTCACATTCATTGTGGTCTGAGCAAATCACGATCAGTTCCAACTGGCGGGCATTACGAGGAAAGCTCACGTAAAAAGGATTGATCAGCGGGTCGAGGAAGTAGGTGAGCTGGTTCCAGTCGAAAGTCGGAATGGGATTGAGGCCCAGGCCCGACACGGAGCCGGTGATCGCAGCGAGATGCACATTGTTCGGGGCGATCCACGTGATCCAATTGAAGTAGGACAGCGCTTGGAAGATGTAGCTGCGGAGAGGCAAAACAAACGTCAGCTGTGCTTTCCATCAGGCAATTGAGAATAGGATCGCACTCGGGGAACCAGAAGTAAACAAACATGCTCCCGAAGCAGTACAAGAACCAGCGCATACGGGTCATGCTCCAGCCATTGGCAACGGTCGCCTTCTCGTGGTGGAACGCTCTGTTGAGGGCAATGATCTACGTGAGATTCAGTCGCGTGCCAATGGTTTGGGTTGTAGATAATAGCGGGTACCGAGAGATTGTTGTACCACACGGCCGAAGCTGGATACACCAAGAAACGCCGAGTGAGCCCCGCGAGACCGTAACCAATCAGGTTCGTCGAAAGCGCCGTCAGGACTGCGGTGCGAATGAGCGAGGTCTTTTGCACAGCCATCATGCGCCTCACTTTGATATCCAAAATTAGTCGCCCATGACTGATTGAAATACAGAGGCAGATACTGGACCCATATGATGCTCGTGCTGATGCGCAGAATGATGAGTGGGAGGGGACGAATTTCACCAGACTGGGGACATACGTGTATGGCGTGCTGAATCCGACATTGGCCATAATCTGCATTGGTCACGCGAGCTGTCAGAAGGAAGGGACTGCGGACGCACGGTGATTATCATGTGCTCCTTCGGGTTGAAAGGTCCGCTGTGATCATGGCACTTCAGTGTGCGATAACGTAAATAGCCTGCTCCTCTCACGGGTTCAAAGTCCAAGTATACCCAAAAGTCGTGAACTCTCTCGCAGGGAGGAGCTCAAGCAGTTTCGCAAACGGGTACGCCAGAACCTGTGCCACGTTGGATCCGACACTGATACCAGGGAAGCTTAGGGCGTCCTTGTGTCAGAACACGAGAACCGAGCCCGAAATAGCCTCGGAGCACACACCGAATGCTGAAAAACTGATTGATGAAGCCGCTGTGGGGCCCCGTTTAGCTCGAAATGATGCAGATTCAGATAGGCCCATCGAAGGGCTGTCTCACCCTGCGCCGACAAAGATGGTCCCGATGACCCAGGTCCGGAACGTCAAGACGGGGGTAGTGGGGTCGTCTTTGTTTGATACCACCGCGCGCACTTCCGCGTACGCCGAGTTCTACCCGGGGTCGTGTGCTTAGCGAGACCGATCACACGAGAATGAGCAACTCACCACGTTCATCATCGCAGCTTCGACCTTGAGCTCTTCGTAGACGCGCTGAAACTCGACGGGATCTTGTCTCAGCTCGGGGTCGTACAAGTAGCGGCTGGAGAAGAATGAGATAGAGGCTCTCGAGAACGTAATGCGGGTGCGACTCACTTGGCAGCCTCGATCACTGTGCGGGGGAAGTTCTGGCCAAGTCTTGGGAATGTGTCTCAATACAACCCGAGAGGAAGACGTACAGGATCATCCCCATGCTTTGAGAGATACGTCAATCGTGAACGAGTCAGGGAACGCATGAGCACAGACCTCTTTCACAATGAGCTTGATGGTCTCCTCGATCTCCTCAGCGCTCATCGTCTTGGCATACTCTGAAGCCTCAAGGATATCATCTGGGACAGCTTGGATCTCAGTCGCCAGAACCTCCTGCAGACGAAATCAGCCAGATGCACCTAACGTGTCCAGAGAGATAACTGACAATGTCGGCTAGGACCCCGCCCTTCTCGCCGAGTGAGCTGGAGCGGACAGAGTCCTTCTCGTTGATTTCCTTCTCTGCCATCGGAAGTAGCGAGCTCCAGGCGGCTGGAGTGCAGGAATGCAGGCAGCGAAAGGACGGGCTTTCACTAACACCCATGCCTTCGGATTCCTGCATGTTATATATACCCGCGGACCGTATCAAGCCGAAGTCGAGGAGAGTTGCGCCACTCCGTATACGGTTTCGCGAGTGACATGAGAAGGCGAAACCTTTTCGCGCAGGAAGTCATTTTTAGATCGATAGTGAGGGAATGCCGCTTCGAATGTGCGCATGAAGACGCGTTATCTATTCAGTCTTGAGATTGCATACCTCCGGCTCTGCGTTTCCCGAGGCCCCCGTCCGTCCAGAGTGGGAACCCGCATGCCGCATCTGCCAGTGCTGGGCCCAGAGTCCAGACACCATAACACAGATTACACCTGGATTAGGACTGACGGTGAAAATGCAGGGCAGGCATTGAGCATGACTCCGATAAATTGCCATGGGAGACGATTACGGTACATGTGTTGTCGAAGAAGCTGTTAGCCTTCACCGGGTGCAAATCGCCACACACTGAGGATATGGCCGCTCACTCGGGATACCAGACAGCTCATACGACTCTCAAACACGTCGGTGAATCTTCTCCGTGTCCATTGCTGTTACGGGCTCATCGACAGTCGTGGGTGGCGGCATCGAGCGGCCAGGTACTCGCGTACTTGGATTGAGTATCACGCCGTGACTGAATGACGGAACCTTTCAATCCTTACCACCAGACCACTTTCGCCGATGTTGGCCGACGGGATCTTCGGCATGCGAATGCTCGCCCATGTCAAGCACGACCTCAGCTGGAAAGCTAGCCGCGCACTGTTTCGGCCTCATCTTCACACGCGGCTCACCTCGAAGAGAGCCCGACAACTTCCCGCCACCAATGAAGCAGGCCCAGGCCGTCGGAACTTTTCGATCCCCGCACGTCAAACGGTTGCTAAAAATGCAGAGATACAGACGGACTCGATGGGTTTCCGGTGCGAGCTCAAGAAAGGGGGTATCCTGGTACGCCCACGTCTCCCACGTCATCCAGCGCTATGATTCACCTCTTCTTATCCTGGCCCTCAGATGCGTAGACTGTCTTTGAGCGTGACCAAAGGCCTCTGCAGTGTTTTTCGCGACCCCTCAACTCTACGAGCGACACATCCTTCTTTACGTCCAGCCACGCACCGCGGTCCATACTGGCGCGCACTGAGTCAGTTTTATGGAATCCTCTCGCTCTGAATCCCAGAGAATGCGGCATTCCCAGCTTTCGCGTGCTACACTGAGCAAGACAAGCCATGCGTGGATCATTCGTGGACGGCTGTGTCGCCGCATGGGTCCGCCAGCTAGACCACGTCCTTTCTTACCGACACTGGATCCGGAAAGGCAATCCCACACCGAGACACTCTTCTCGTTCGCACCATGACGCTTGCCAAGGACTGCGCAAGCATCGCACGCGATGCCCTCTGGAGCATGGATTCCATGCCTGGCATATACTTCGCACGCGGTGCATCCAGGGCGTCGTCAATCATTCTATCGTGCTCTCGTCCTCGTGCTTCCCGTGACAGACGGTGGCGATACTTCCGTGTGGGCGGCAACGAGAAGCTCGAGGGTTCAGTCACTCAGAGATGAACTGGTCGCGTCAAAAGGTACAGTCGAATAGATTCTATCAAGACAGAGACATTGGATAAGGAATGTTACAGTACGCCGCTCAGGCCGGACCGGCAAACTGGACGGAAGGGCAGTCCTGGCCGCCATTGGAGCAGTGCGGGATCAAAGTCTCAACAGGGCCCGCTAGTGAACAATGAATCAGCCAGGATGCCAGCGAGACCGGAAGCGCGACGTACCGTCGGTGGTCAGCGACGGGAAGGGGGCGGCGCATTGGGCCAGCTGGAGGTCCTTGGCGCTCTTCGTCGCGGGGAAGCTACGAGAGGATGTCAGCCGACCTGTCTCTGGACGTCAGCTGAGACGCGAATCACCTTGCAGGCTTTCCGACGGCGGGTTTCGGGACGGGTACGACGCTGGAGCAGTCGATCAGCTGCTCACGGCGGGATCCGAGGACAGCCAGTTTGCCCATCGCGAGCTTGAAGCTTTCCGACATGAACTCCTGCTCATCTGGCGGTCGAAGGCAGTCAGCTCTGTTCTGGACACTCGGCTGATATGGGGGTGCTCACTGACGAAGCCCTGCCAGAAGCAGGCGGTGCGAGGGTCGCGGGCGAGAGCGAAGTCGGACTGGAGACGCAGCTCGCCGGTGTCGTTTCCGCTGTGGATCGGGAGGGGAGACGCGACCTCGCCGCTGTTGTTGCCCAGGCCGGGGAAGCCGGTGCCCTTGAGCAGGACTTCGAGGAAGATCTGTGTGTCGAAAGTGAAGGGTGTCGAGTCGAAGGGGGCCGCATCCAAGGTCGGATCGACGTGGTCCGCGCGTGCTACGGTGTGGCTGGCGAGGAGCGAGATGACTTCGAAGGGGCTGAAGTTGCCCGCGTCGGCGAAGCGGGCCAAGATCTTGTCCACCGAGTCGGAGGGTTCCTGCGGCCGAGCTGATGAGTGTCTCTGGTGGACTGCACACGGAAGGGAAATGTACCGGAATGAGCCCATCTACGGCAGGAGCCACGGCATCCTTCCGTCCGGCCAGGAACTCGAGCCGGGGCGCACCCTGCGATCAAATGAGCGATTGTCGAGATCATGCTTTTTACATACCGGGCAGTTCGAGACAGCCACTGCACCAGCGAACTGGATGAGATCTCCCGCGGAGACATTGTGGCGGGCAAGGATCGGGAGCAGATTGTTCACGCTGTCGTCGATACCGTTGTTTGCCTCAAAGTTGGGTTCGATCTGTCCAAAGATAGATAACGTGAGATGAGTATCCTCGAACAACAATTGTATTTTGACGCACTGTTGGGAACAGGAGCATGCTGCCGTCGGCTCCGCCTCCGCTGTTGGCGGTCAGCATACAAATCCGAGGCAGACAAGAATGTTTGAACAGACGCGGTAGGTCCCTGAGACTGACTGATCGCAATCGCATCGTCTGGCAAAGAAACTTATAAGAAACGTGCAGGATGAGTAAGAACAAGTCGATGCGTACGGAAGGTGAGACGGAGAGCCTCGTGCGCATCTTCACCGCAGAGGTTCTGGAAAATGTTCGCTTGGAGATCCTGTGCGACCTGGAATTGCAGCGAATCAGTTTCAGTTGGCGATCCGGATGAGTTGAGATAAGCAAAATGGTGGTTGTACTTACAGGGATGAAAGCGCAGCAGGTGCTGTGCGACACGCGAGTGCCATCGGGACAAAGCACCGTGTCTGTGCTAGTGGGAGCAGCCGAGACGGTGACCGCGAGCGCCGCCAGCACGATGAGCGAGAGCGAGAAAGCCATTGTGCGACTGGAAGGACCGCAGAGGAGTGCTACCCGGAGGAGAACTTGGACTCTACTCGTCGTCTCCTGGGTGCTTTTATACACACTGGCGATGGCACGAATTACTCAGACCGCGAGGGTGCCGGGTTAATTTGGGTGCAAGTTCAGATCGGCTGCCCAGAGGCCCGAGCCGCAAGCGGAACCGACATAACGGATTAATCCGGCTACTCAAGACGCGTTCTGTTCCAGGAGAAACCAGAGCAAGGGATACGAGCTCAACAAAACGATCATCGAATCAGGACGTGAGCCGGTTCTTCGATTCCATGATCGGATTTGGCGCGGGGAGACAGATATGAGGATAATGCTTAGCAACTGTAAATGACTAGACGTGCGTTGGATGCTCTAAAACACGCTTACCTGAGCATGGTTCAGTCCACGTGGCGATAATTGGACGGATCATGGGCCAAAAGTGCTCGGATGAGAGAATACGCCCACAGAGCGTCGTTGAGCTCAGACCAAGCGTATACCAAGCCTTTCTCAGTGTTGTACCTAGCAGTAAGCCGGAGATCGGGTGGATTGTAGCGTGGGCAAATTTTTTGCGACCGTGTCAAAGAGCTGATCGAGACATGTGCTGCTGTCTGATAGAGAGATGGCATTGAATCCGCGCTCAGGGCGTTGGCTGCGGCACTGACGTATCTTCGAGTTGGAATTGGTCTCTCGGGGCCGGTGGCCTGAATTCACCGAAGTCCCCATTGGTCGAGTTACCACCGTTGTCCCGCGCCCTGCCCCGGGGGAAGCTCGTCGAGCGTTGCCGGTGACTAAAAACTCCCAAACCCGTGGGCAATGGGCCCTCGTCTCCAATTCCGAATTTGCCGGTCTGTTCTTACGCAACGCTGCATGAGGGTCGACTGAAATTTCACATAGAGCGCTGGATCTGGGACTTGCTGCGGTGTCGATATCCCGAAGTTCACCGATCTTAACACCGCATCGGTTGGTGAAGTGTTTCTAGTGATGGCGCAGCTGCGCTGGTTTGACATTGGGCTGCCGCCAAAGCATGCTTGCGCATGATTTGGCGTCTCACAAGGTTCGTGTCCGGATCCTGCCTCTTGGCTCGATGGCTGGAAGGTGGTGGGATCGATCCATTAAAGATCCATCAATTGTTTTCATCCCATCTCAGTCTTGATCCCCATACATTCAACATCCTTCATCATCACATCTTACGAGCTGAGCCTCGGCTGATTATTGTCGACAATGACAGAGGGGAATGCAGAGTAAATAAGTAGTATCAGCGTTCCAGAGTCCATCCAGAGCTGAAGACAGGCCCACACAGAAGACCACATACAAAAGAGCGGGTGGATGAATTTCGGGGGACGAATGAGAACAGTACTGCGAACAAAAACACGAGGAATACATGGAGCCGCAGATGCGCCGGCGGCAATTCTGAGTGAGATAGTATGACTAAAGAAAGAGTGTATGAGATAAGTGGTTCAAGCATATGATTATTCAATGAATGCAACGAGAGAGAAAGAGAGAGATCTGCTTCGAGCGCCGAACGTGGGGGAGGCTCACCTTAGCCCAACACTTCCCAGAATCACGTAGATTGGTTTCGTATTCTTGCTCTTCGAATCGATTTTTGGCAACTCAGCTTACCAAGAGTTCTCATCCATTCTCGCTCCCTCCCTCTCTTGCCGGGCCCAATAAACAACGACAAAGATCCGGACAACTCTGAACGATGTGTGTTGGTTCCTCCTGAGTGGCCGAAGCGCAATGCGTTGAGCCGGATACAGAAGGCACATCCAAGTCGAACCACCACCCCTGGTGTGCAGAGATACACGGCGTGTGTGATGAGTGCGAGAGCCCCCAGCCCAGCAAGAAGAGCGCGAGTCCCTAAGCGGATAGAGTGCGTAGTAATCCAACAGAAGACATGCCCTTGAAGTTTGAGCGAGGTAAAAGGGAGAAGGCCTAATGAGCCTTCGCGGATGGACAAGCATTTCTAGATCCACACCCACAACCCTCGTGGTCGGACCGCACTTGGAAAGTGGCTCTGGTGTGGGAAGGTGAAAAGGGAGAGGACACGCATGTAGATTACTCACAGATTCTCGGCGGCTCAGACATCCCATGCGAGTCTACCAGGCTTTGGCGGTCCTCTGTTTAAGCCGTTGTAGGAAGAGGGAGGTCACGAGAACAAAGAGGGAAAGAAAGGTCATGCGGAGGGAAATCTTTGGCAAGCTTTTCAAGTAGTCCGTTGAACAGTGCACTGCGTGCAATCGTTGAAGAAAGAGGAGTTGACGGCGTCAGTGGGAAAGCCAAGATGAAGACTTCACATCCGGGAGTGATGATCGAGTGTGGGAGATCATCAGTTGATGCGTGCGTCTCGGCCGATAAGGTCCGATTCGGCTTGCCCTCTACTCTCATTGTCTGGCCTTGTAGTTTCCAATGCACACTTTCCCGTTTATCCTCAAGATTTGGAGCACACTTGGGCCGCTGTACAGTAGCTCGTGAATCACGGCCTCCTTTGCCGACGGTAGAACCTCGACGCCGTACAATGGGAAAGAGGACGCCGCTCATTTGTCGCCAAGGAGTGCATTCCAGGGGCCGAATCTGCACACGCACAAAGGCGTGATGACCCTTCCTTTCGTCATGTCTGGCCACATGCGGCCGTCCAAGCCAAATGCGACTCGATGGAATACCGCGTCTCCGAGTGCATCTCACCTTTAATGCCCTGCATTGCTGGCCACGGCATGCGACCCTCCAGGGTGCACAGCTCCCAATCTATCCCTCTCTCATTCTCCGCACCCAAAAGCGGTCTAATCTTGGTGTGCCATGGCAACGTGAGCGTCTTCTCTCAACTGATGCCCGACGCTCAGCGCCGGAATAGGTCGTTAATGGCCATGCTGTGCCAGTTCATCGCGGTGGTACGACTCGTATTTGGGATTTACGAGGTGCTCAGCAATGTGCACCGTGAATTGCGCTACGGTTTTGGTTAGAATGTGCGATGGGGGAATGGTACAAAAGCTGGAGGAGCTGCGCTGAGAGTTCTTCAGGTCGAGCTCGCCAACTCAACCTACTCAGTCCCATCCAGTCTCCTCTTTCCCTCAGTCGAAATGCGCTTCCAATTCCTTACTGCACTCGTGCTAGCTGTCTTTGCTGTCAGCGCCGCAGCGGTGCGTTTTCAGTCGCCCCTCTCTCTGTGGACGCTGATCAAGGTAACAAGCAGGCACCTGCGCCGGCCGAAGGCGAGCTCTCCAAGAAAGGCTACAGCCAGCCCCAGAACGGTGGCTACAACCAAGGCCACAACGGGCAGGGCAACGGCTACGGCGGTGGAGGTAACAATAACCACAATGGCGGCGGCAGCGGATACGGCGGCGGCAAGGGCAACAACGGTGGATATGGTGGAGGCAAGGGCAACAACAAAGGCGGATATGGTGGAGGAAAGGGCAACAACAACGGAGGGTATGGTGGAGGCAAGGGCAACAACAATGGCGGATACGGCGGAGGGGGCGGGAACAACGGTGGATACGGTGGGGATAAGAACCACAACGGCGGCGGCTATGGTGGAGGAAACAACAACAACAACCACGGTGGATATGGTGGAGGTAACAACAACAACAACGGCGGCTACGGTGGAGGCAACAACGACAACAACGGCGGCTATGGCGGAGGCAACAACAACGGCCACCACCAATCCGGCGGCTACGCGGTATGTTCCAATTCATCGTCGTCATCTCCTGCCGAAATCTCACGGGAACCCTCCAGCTGGCGAAGAAGAGCTACGGCGAGCGCCCTGGATTTGGCTATGGTCACGGCGAGAACCACGGACACGAGCACGAGCACGGTGGCTACGGCGGCGAGCACCACAGCGGCGGCTACTATGCGGTGGGCGCCATCTCTGTCGCATACTTCCCCTACTGATCGCCGCACAGCTTGTGAAGAAAGGATATGGCCACGACAACGACTACGGCCACCACGAACAGGAGCACGGCCACGGGTATGGCCACCAAGGACATGGATATGGCGGACACGGATACAACGTCGGTCATTTTCTCGGTCTAGTCTCCAATCCTCTGCCATGCTCATGATTGATTAGTACGCCTAAACAAAGCGAGTCATGGTCTGGAACCTATTCCTTGGCCGAAGTGACACTGTAATAACTCTTGTACTTTTCCCCTCCCGGACAAGGAATCAGAAAACGTAAAAAACATAATCTGTACTACATCCCTGCAACGAATCAATCAAATGCTGTGCTATCCAGTCTCTGCGAACTTTCCACCGAGGCGATCTTAGAAAAGACATCCCCACAGAAGAGTGAACACTCGAGTAGATGTGGAAAGTCCCCCAGTCCTGCTGTCACAGCTTCTTGAAAGCTCTTATCCTCAAGGACCTGGATGAGCCATGAATTTTCAGATAGATGGGTACAAATCCAAATCATATCGTACCTCGACCAACTTATCAAATGTCTCCCGATATAGTTCGTGAATACTTGAGCGAGCAGATTGACAGCCCACATACCTCGGTTTCGAAGATCGCGACGAACATCTCGTCTTTGAGATCTCTATATCCAGCTGTGCGGATATGGCTCGTGACGTCGTCCTCCTTCTGGAACCACTTCTCACGACATCAAACCGATTAACAGCCTGAAATGGGATCCACGCACCAGCGAATGCTGGAGAAGATTCTTCCGCGCGACCGAAACGTCCCGCAAAACGACCTCCATGAAATCCTCGAGCTTGGCGTGGAATGCCGCCACGGACATGTCGGGGTGCGCTTTGAATATCCCAACGACATGCGTCCGCGAGTCGGCTTGCGGGATGTGAACCGTCGTGTGCATGTCCGCTGAGAATATGTTGCACTCAGTGAGTATGCCGGACTCGGACTGACTACGAGCAATCAGGGATTGGGCTTCAGGATCGTTGCCCACCGCGCCGCAGTGGTCCTTGCTCTACAATGCATTGAAGTTCCGCTGCAAATACAAGGCGTTTCCTGTCTCACGTGTGCCTGAGCGATGTGGATGACGAAGTCTTGCGGCTCGGGAAGCCCCAGTCCGGTGATGACTTCTCGCAAAGAATCATTCGGAACGATCTAGGAGCGCGTGCTGAGAATTCCTGCGTGGGTTCGAGGGTCAAGAGATACTCACGACTTCGAAGGTCTTCCAGCTCTCCTGGGCCACGGGTAACTTCGCCAGCGAGCTGGCGTAGTCATCCATTCGTTGTTCGAAGTCTGCCTTTGTCATTCCCGGTGGAACCTTGTAGATAGCGATCGCGGGGACGCCTTCGACCGTGGCTGAGATGGGCATGTTTCCTAGCTACCGCCCAGTATGAAACGGAGGACTCTTTATACTCAGCTATATTTCCAGATTGACAAATATGAGAAGCCATTTCCGTCTTTGAGCGCATTTTTTTTGCGGCCGAGGAACGGGTATGGTCTGGCGATGTCTTTTCAGCATTCGGAAACGAAAAGCTTGGAACATACGCAGGAACAAGAGAAGTATTTCGCCACATATCCATCATCCATGATCTCGGAACTCCCTGATTTGCGGGCGAAGTCTGGCGCACGATGTGGCATTTCGCTTGCGAAATTCCAGTCTCGCATCGTTATATTTGTGAGCAAGTTCGGGGCCGTGCAGCCAAGTGGGTGTAATGATCTCCTTCTTGTGACCCTGATTCAGAGAGAGGAGACCAGCGAAAGCGAGTTGCCTCGAATAAGCTCGAGAAGCGGCGGACTGGATGATGGGGACTGTGACGGGTGCATCAAGAACTTCTCGCGTCACACGAGCTGTCACACGTTATAACAAACAAGTAGGCGAGGTCAATCATGCCTGCACGCAACTGCAACGATAGGATGCACAACATCCGATGTCATTATCCACCTCTACATCCCCTCCTGTCACCACCGAAAGCTCTTACGCAGCTGTAGTCGACGATGGGACCCAACTTCTTCGGCTGCGACCTGTGCGCGTCGCCCATCCCAGCGGGATACCGCGAATGCAGTGTGGGGAGCTCGGGTACGGTGTTGATATGTATGCAGTGTGTGTGCAGGGGAGATGGATAGCCCGATAAGTGCTGCCCATGACGCCCGTCATAGGGTGCGTGTTTGGGGGTAGAGCGAGGGCGGCACACGACCAAGGATCGTGTCAGGTTTGAGTTTGAGGGCTTGGAACGTCCGGAAGGGGAGTACACACTGGCACGCAACCTTCAAATCCTCCTGACACGAACACTACTCCCGTTTGTTTGCCAACGTTTCCTGCGACTCCCGCCCTACCTGTGTCCGTCCCGCAGCAACTACCACCATCGCAGGAGCAGCAGCAGCGACAGCCCTCAATCCCTCCATCGAAGCGCGTATCAATGGCCCTCACACCGCTACCGTCGCGTAGTTCGATGTCCACGTCGATGGGACCTCCGTGCCAGGTGGATTGGGGCCAGGTGGATCCACATCGGGAAGGTCAGGGCCGAGAGGATCTGTTCCCAGGGGCTACAACCCCTCCTCTCCTCTCCTCCGCCACCTGTCTGCGGAGACACGTCGTCATGCGGGACCAGCTCCGGTACAAGCTGCACGGCAGCTGCACAAACACCTGGCGGCTTCACGGACTATGCCCCCTTCTTCACGCCTGGGATGAACGTCACCCCAGCCCCAGCGTATACGTACTTCATGAGTGCGATTCACATGGCGCTGGACCCACGCCGGACCGGTGCGCTGCAGCCTGAAGTGTTCTGTGACTTCCTGTAATGCAGTGGATTGAGGGGTACGTGGGACAGGAGAACACGTGGACCGCAAGTTTCGTAGCGACGGTCGGGACTATGATGGACTATGAAGGAGGCGGACGCGGCATTGGACCGGGAGTGTGATCTGCGGCGCGTCGAATACACGCTCCCGCCCCAGGCGCGGGAGCCGCATGGCCACTGGACGCGCCAACGCAGCAGATCCAAAGCATCAGGGGCGCACTTGCGCGTGCATTCACGCAGTCGGCGTCAGTGGGCCGATGCCGATGATCCCTCTGCTCGGGTCCATGAATGTCATGGCGTTGGAAATCCTCTGCGATCCGTCAAGTCGTTGGGGTGCGTTTGCACGGCTCGTCTAGAACCCCTTACATCGCTTGAGCGGGTTGGTTGCTGCACGGGACGAGCTGCCTCGGTACGTAATCCCCCATGAGGTGGATCCGCAAATGCTCGAGCGCGTCAGGAAAGGTCCAGGCATTTGCACAGGAAAAGGCACAGATCAGTGTGCCGAGGAATAGACCTGGCGAAACTGTTATCAATGTCATGTGTATGTGTATTGCATCGATTGCCACTGCATTTTTCGTCCTAGAACGTGCTCTCTTTTCGATGATCCTTACAAAGTATGTTTCCATTGCGCTGCAGATGATAGAAGTACACCAAGGTGGAAGTGCTATCAGCCGATTCGTGCGAGGTGGAAGACAAATAATTATAGACATGAGAACAGCCACCTGCGCTCACGGCTCTGCCACAAGACCATGTCCCACTCTCCCGCACACTCCTGTCGAGTGACATACAGTCTTGCTGTGATACATAGAAATGTCGCAGAGTGCCCCATTGGGTTTGCCACGCGCCGCAGATGTCGCGCTGCTTTTCATGCAACTAATTCATGCAGCTCACTCGCTAGTTGGTGTGTTGGATCAAAAGTGACCTAGGTGGCTGGGTGATATCACATTTTCCGGTCCCTGCGCTGGTTTCTCGTTCCTTGGCTCACCCGCTCCCACGACTGCGTCAGCTGGCCAGAGTACCATGCGTAACGCCCCGGTCCAGGTCTGTCGCCGACGAGCCTCCTGGACAGAGCCTGGGTGTCCTGATCGCGGCCTTGTCTTCTACTTGAGCCTTCCCACCAGCATCTTGTCGACTCGGCTGCAGCCCTGCTCCTGGGACCCATGTCTTACCGGAAGGACCGCATCGGCGTTCTCGCGCGACACGTAGTGCCGGCACATCTCTCACAGGACGAATTCTCTCAAAACGTGCATGCGGTAGTCAACGCATGCTCAGAGCTGCCCGAGTTCCAGAACAATATTCTTGAGCTGGATATCGTACAAAAACGTCTCGCCCGCGGCCAAGGACCGATTGCTGATAGACGCATCATCGCAGGTCTTTCCGAACGATAGGAACGCCGCATCGGTGCAACAGTCAGGACTGCCTGCTCTCCAAAATGTCGTCTTGCTGCTTTTCCAGTGTCGGAGCAGGGAGAACTTCATTCAGGTGCGACTTACGCCAGTCTGTATGTGTCCCCAGCCCAGCGACTCAAGGGCCCATTGCAGCTTCTATCTGATTCGAGAGTCCGAGCGACGTTCGCCAAAGCGGAGACCGACTTCCAGTTCCTCTCCACGCTCACGCTCTGCGCAGCCGATATCTTCGACCGCATCCCGCTCGCCAACCAGCCTGTCGAGGACACGCCGCGCGCAGGCGGACTCGCCCTGTTCCGCTTCGACTCGGACGCCGCCGCGCAGGTGTACGTCAACCGCGTGACTGAGTTCGGGCAGTTCTTCCGCCTGCCGAGTGTGGTGCGGCTCGTGCGGGGGTACGCGACGGTGCGTGTGTCGACCGACCCGCGACGGGGGTGTGCGTGACGCTCATCGGGAGCTGACATCGGCAGTGGGTCGGGAACGAGGCGATGGCGCAGGACTTGCGCGAGCTCGGATTCAAGACGCTTGATCACGCGGTCGTGTCGATCGTCGAGTCTGAGGTGCGTCGCAGCCCTCGTGATGTTCCCTTCACCACGCCCGGCTGACAGGTTACACAGTCGTTTGACGTGTTTACGGAGGTGCGTGTGTGAGGGTCCATGCTATGCGTGCGTTCCTGATCTCGCTCGGCAGATCACACGCGAGGTTTCGTCGACTACGATGGTGTCGAGCGCCCTGGAAGATGTCAAGCTGGCCGACGGAAGCTTCTCCTCGTCTGTCACGATTGTATCGAAGAAGAAGAGGGAGGAACACTGAGATGTGCATGATGCGCACAACTGTTCCTTCCATAAGTAAAGATGCCGTCGGTTTGCACCATCTAAGGCTGTATTTTTTTCAGTAAATGTTGCAATGCGGAATGACTGAGATAGTGTACATGCACCTTGGGACTGAGACCGTCCGCTATTCAGTCTTGACTAGAGAACGCAGGCTCCTGAAGATACGGAAAGACTCTAAGAGGTGTCCATATCCGGGCGAATGGAGGCTGAAATCAAAATCGCGAGGCAACCCTTTTCTCCAGTCACGCCGTTTTACGGACATCGTCGCCAGGGATCAGCCGTAACAGTAACCAGCGAGAGCCCGGGAGAAGCCAGCAGGTAGCTGTCGAAATGCTGACACAGCCCTCCAACGGTCCGTTCACATCCGACCAGATGACGTCACAGTTACAATTTCCCAGGCCCCGACAGGGTTACTCCTGCAAATCAAGCTCCGATCTGGGAGATCTAATCGCCTCATGCAAGATCCTTTTTACCTTGCACTGAAGATACGATTCGGGAACAACCGGATGAAGATTAATACGCACAGTGAATGGTGTTCTGTCGGAGCTTTAGAAAGTCCTGAGAACAGGACAGCGTAATGCCTGTGTCGACTTCGCTCCGACTTCGATCTCTCTCCGTGGAATTTCTTTGAACAGAGGCCCCGGAAGGATCGAGCAGAGCCGCGTGACGCGGAGATTTCACATCACCAGTCGCGGGAGGAGAGAGATCCACGACAGCTTTGATAGTGAGCATCACGGCTTTTGCACTTTCGCGGTTCCGGTCGGACCATTCGATTCCAAAGCGCGAGGGCTTGTGCATTGAAGGCTCATTGAAATAGGCTACCTCTACAGCACTGGATGGCCAAAATAGGCAAACCCCGTTTCATTGTTGCCTCAAACCTTCCGTCTAAGTACATCCAACCCGACGGGTCAGAGAATCAGCCTTGGGCTGGACGAAGTCCGACGCCAATGTGAGTTTTTTTGGATGAAAGTCCAGCGGATGTGCGGAATTCAGTCTGCACCCAGCCACCCACGTGACGAGCGCTGATAGGTGCTGGGAGGTATCTGATGCAGCTCCACTTTCTTCCGATCAATGCCCGTGAGAGTGGTGTTCTTCCGCGCCGAGTCGTTCCTGACTCTGTTTGCGGCTGTGAAACCGAGGCCTTTGGGCTGCAGTTGAACTGCAAGAGGCATTGACTTCTCTGGCGGGTAGAGATCGACTGTGCTGTGCTGGGACTCACCCTCAAGGCCTCTGGATTTTATTTTAGCAATCCATCCTCGCGCGAGACTTTCAACATTGGGGGCAAACAAGAAAGCTGTAGATACGGATTCATCAAGGCAATGCCTTCCGAGCTGCGGGGACTCCTGCCGGAAGATGAAGCTGAAATGTGTATTGTACACACGAGGTAGGTAAACAGCTCTGGCTCGTTCAAAAAACGTGTGTACCGCTCGATAACAGAGCTCAGAATGTTTGCACAGCACAGATTTGTCATGATAGGAGCCGAAAATGAACACAGCTTCATAGACCAAATAAGCTTATTCTGTGAGATCAGTCGGCCCAAGCGTCGCGAAAGGAATCATACCGCAAGTTCTAAATGGTAACTGAGGACCACCTCAACAGCCCATGCTGGATCTGGATCGAATGTGCTCGGCATAAAAAACGCGTCAAAGGACAGAGGGCCCTGCATCCACATCTCGTCAGTCCACAGACCTTTCGTTCTCTAGTTCCTCCCCATGTATCCACAATCGACTTCCCAGTCTACAAACGAAGAAACGTCCGCAACGCGAAATCCGAAGGCCTGCCAAAAATGCCGGGCTCGAAAGATCAAAGTGTGTATATCCAACCGCCGTGTGCGATCGATACACCCACCACTCATGGCTGACTTCGAGCCAGTGTGTCCCAACTGATGAGTGCCGGGCTCGGCCATGTGAAAGGTGTACCAGGATGGAACTCGAATGTCGGTTCGAATCGATCCAGGGGAATGTCTCCGCCCGCCAAACAGTCCCGGATGGCAAGAACACGATCCAGTTCGATACTCCGGCGCCGCCGAGGGGCGAATCAAACGTTGCTTCAACGCGACCGCCGGGGAGATCGAGGAGGACAGAGCAGCGCGATGTACATAACCAACCCGGATCGTATGCCGACGCGAATCCGCATGGGGTGTACAGCGCACAACACGCCGCCTACAACGGACGGGCGGGACCATCTGGGCCGACGGCCGACCTCACACAGCGCCGCTGGCCCGCGCAGGGCTACACAAACCCTCAGGCTGCGCAATATCCTGTGTACGCAGAGCACGTTGGACAGGACCATTACACGCAAATTGGCTATCCCGCGCCACATCAATATGGACCGTCGGGCCAGGGTTATCATGATGGTCATGTGGAATACTCGACTTCCGCTTCGTACTGGCAGCCTTCTCAGGGACAGCAGCAGCAGCATCAGCGACATAATGGTGGCGATGGCGCCTACCCATACCAACAATGATCGAGAAACGCTGGATTTCGCACATCTAGAAATACTAGATAAGGATCGATCGTAACATCACATTCTTGTTCCTGGCGTGCTCCGTGAAACAATCTTTACATATTTATAGTTAAGACGAACAGTAGTATTCACGTGTGGGGATGGGTGCCCAGGTCGCCGAGTCGATGGTGGGGCAGCAAATGAACCCCCAACATCGACACTGCTGTACTACTGTGAGTCTAGGAAAGGAAAAGTTGTCAGCATTAGTAGAAGGGAATGAAGGAAGGAAGGAAGGAGTGGGTGGGTGGGTCGAGTGAAGATGGAATGTTGAGGCTATTTGCGAAACTCAGACGTTCGAGATGCTCGAAGCGAGAGAAGGAGTGACGGTGGACAGCCACCATCACTCCTCTCACACTGTCACAAGAAGACGTGGTGATCTCCCCTACTCGATCATCACTCCCGTCTTGTTCCTGGCGTGCTCCGTGAAACAATCTTTACATATTTATAGTTAAGACGAACAGTAGTATTCACGTGTGGGGATGGGTGGACTACGGAAACCCAGGTCGCCGAGTCGATGGTGGGGCAGCAAATGAACCCAACATGGCTGACCAGTTGATGGTGCGCCATCGACTCGCCCAAAGAAGGGAAGCAAATTTAAGATAAAAATTCGGCGTGTTTTGGTATTAGATTTTCCAGGGATCTCCAATAACGTAGGAAGGAGTCAGACGACCATCGGCCCATTGTGCGGACAACATCGGGGTGGATTCCGGCTAAAAGCAATTCCGTAGTGCCGCCAATCCTGAAGCTGTGACCGGTTGTCCGCGGATAGCCGTTTGCCGACCATATTTCATTGCATCGTTTGAGGAATGCAGACTTTGTCAGTGTCGCATCCTTTCCCCCTTTTGAGAAATTGAAGAGCAGGGCGTTGGAGTCCAGTCGGCTTGCAATAAAATGCATTTCTCTTGCGGTGACAGGGTCCAGTGGCGCAGACTGACGTGGCAGGTGAATTGTATCGCCTTGGATACTCGTTTTCGTTCGGGGTATTCTGAAATGGCTCGTACGTGAGGCACCGGACCTTGGGACGAAATGCAATCGTTTAGGGGTGAATGCTGACGCCTTTGAGCTCGTCGAAAGCGGTAAAATTTCGCCGAGACGGCATTGGCCCCAGAACGCAGTACACGCGGTAGCGTACACTGCAACATCGCGTGGGTCCGAGAAGTCCAGGCCCTCATGCAGGCGGGATAACATATCACGATTGATCGGAGGTCTCGGGGGTTTCTTGGCCGAATCGGGTTCCATCCGCTCTGCGCCAGCCAGAACGTAATGCAGCCGTGCCTTTCCGTTCCAATCGGCTCCCTGCGCAACGTGCCACGCTTTCAGCGCAGAGATGTGATTTCTGATTGTTGTTCCGGCCAATTTTCCGGCGTTTGACGCAACATAAGCGCAGAGTATCATCTCGTCTGCTGGCAGCCTGAATTGAGTCGGTACGCCTTCGCTGTCACAGTAGCGCAGGAAGGAGTCCACTATCCCACCCATATTGCTGAGAGTATTTCCGGCCCATCCAGATTGCAATGTGGTCGATATCATCTCCATTGTGCGCTGAGATAGGCCCAGGGAAGCTGCGTTTGCTGGCAAGGGGCTGTGATTGTAAAACTGCTGGAAGATCCTTGGCCTTGTGTCGCTGCCATTGTTGCCATTGTTTCCAGTCTCGTGCATTGGCATCGTCCCCCCAGTGCAGAAAGAAGCAAGAGTGAATACTGCTAAGTCACACAGGGGCTGATACAAGTCCCAACAGACAGTAAGGTAATTTAAAATTCGATCCACATCGCCGGTAACCGGGGACGTCTAGTCCTCGTGAAGGGCGATCCGCCAAGTTCAGCGCGGAGGGGACATACGTGCACGAGATCCAAATCGAGGACGTCCGTAATAAAGCTACGATTCTGCGCAGCACCCGGTTCTGTTCCATACTCCGAGATTTTCCGCTTGACAAGGCGCCAAGAACCCCTGCGTTATCCGAATGAACGTTGAAGTGCACGTCGGAGTGATTCTGATGTATTGCGAGACGGAGGCCCAGCTCGATCGCTATCATTTCGGCCCATCCAATATCGCGACCATCGCGTAAGGCGGAGTGTGTCAGCCTCCAGCGCTGCCAGACGCCGTCGAAAACTACGCCAATGCCCCAAGAGGTTGATGCATCCACGAAGAATTGTATACCAGACAATGAGGGCGGTTTCATAAGCCGAGATCCGCAGAACGGTTTATGCAGCTGAGACAACCACCAGGATACGTCATCCAAGACCGTCGCGTTTGGCTTTCGGCGTGAGAAGGGTGATCGAGTGTGAGCGAAGGATGCCGCAAATTTCGATATTGCAGGTAGTCGTGACTTTCCTTCAGGCAGTGCCAAAGAGCAATGGACCAGTGTTCCGAGCAGTGATTCGGCTTCCTTGACAGTGAACGATGCATCGGGGGTCCACAACAACAGTCTAGCGATGTATTTTGACTTCTTCCCGTCTGGAATAGATACCGATTTGTCGGTGATGTTCCAATGGAAGCCCAAATATATGAACTCCGAGGCGAAGTCGCGTGTCTTGGATTGCTTCCAAGGCCAACCCAGGTCTTTTGCCACGTCATAAATATCCGAGAGGCTATATGGGTTTGGTGACGGGCTGCCATGCAAAGGAAAACGAAAGAAAACAAAATCATCAACCCACTTCTTGAGTGGGCCAATCCCTTTTGCGCGGTAAATTGCTGCCATCGCATCTGCAACTCGGCCAAAAATGCCCCCGGAGCTCGTGAATCCAAATGGACACACGTGGTCGATGTAGAAGACCCCATTCCACTCAACAACAAAGTGTGGTTGCTGCGTCGGGTGAATGGGACAACGCCGATAGGCGGCGTCAACATCCAGAGTTGCCGCCTCGGTTCCAGGGGGAGCTTCGATCACGAGGATGACAATATCCGAGAACGAGCCCCATTCGCATGGGAAGTCATCGATATTAATCTCCGAATTGACGGACATGCGTGAGGGATCGTTGCGTGGAAACGAGAAATCCTGCACGATTCGAAACTCCCCTGGTGCGCCAGACTTGGGCACGGTGCCCAGAGGGGATGATCTGAAAGGACCAATGAGGGCTTCCAGTCGAGTCGCTGAGAAAGGCCCGGTGTAATGTCGGTTAGAAAGCTCGTTCTGAATGTATTTTGTAACGGTGTTGGCTTGTGCGACCGCAGAATAGTGATTTTTGGGTGTGTACGTTCTGGAGATAGAGGAAGTGATGCCCATATTAAAACCATCCCGAAGACCTATAGGTACATCACGGAATGTATCGTGTACGCCGGGATCCATCAGCGCACGGTCCCACCTATCCGGCAGGAGGGGGGTCACAACTGGAAGGAAATCACACGGATGCGCATTCCTGAGCGCCATGTGAACCGGATTTCTCGCCGCAAAGGCTACAGTAGTGGAGTCGGTTGCAGCTACGGCCCATTGTGCACCCAATCTTGCCGTTGAAGCCATAGCAGAATTGGTTGCCGCGTCGGTCCTTCCGCGGCTCTCCGGGCTTGTCCGACCAGATGACCAGGGGCTTGCCGTTGATAAGAGATCCGGCAGAACAGCTTCGTGAAGAGTGGTCCTGGCTACCACAAGCGAAGCATCTGGCCTTTGAGCGGGAAGCGGGTTGATGCATGCTGTCGCGCTTCTCATATACTTCGAAGCGCCGGGTGACCTGGTCGCGAAAGGAGTGTTCGCTGCCCTCTCGAAAGGACTTTCTTTCCGGAAAGCGAGACGAGGACGGTCCTTGGGCAAGCGAATCGCTGAAAGACTTGACTCCGTCCAAATCCAACCTCTCGGCGTCGAATTCAATCTTCACGTCTTCCCAGATGTTCGTCTGCCATACAGAGGGGTCCAGAGCCTCGACGATGGATGCGCGTCTCACGCGGGAGTCATATGCAAGGAGCATTGGCCACACCCGCTCGCGGTTGTGATAGTGCATAATCTTGAAGTAGTGCTGCTGCCATAGGTTGAGCTCCTGGGGAACGTAACGCTCGATGAGGTACATCAAGCGTTTCCATGCCTGAGTCCATTCGGCGAGGGATAAGCGTAGTTCGGGCTCGAAGGGGATGTCTTTCGGGATTGTCAGCACCGTGTTTGATGCTTTATCAAGCGTGCGATTGTCATCGAAATCCTTTGTGGTTGCCCCAACGCCGTATCGGCGGCAGAAGGCATCGGTGAGTAGGTGCAACGGGATATGATGCGCCCAGATGTTCCCAGTCCCCAAGAACCGGTTGAGGATGGGCTCGATGATCTGAATGCCTGCGTCGGTGGAAACCGATCCCTGGATGCGATCAGGCCGACGTCGCACTCCGGAAACAGCAACTGGATTGTGGCGTGGCACTACGGTGGTCGGCGGAACTGCAGTGTCTTAAAAGAGGATTAGATTCGTGTGCCCATGTAACATAACAATCAAATGGTATGCGTCGGCCACATGGGCCAGCGTATGCAAATGCGAGGTGTGCAAAATCATGGGTTAAGATCCGTACGCAGTGCGCAGAACGCTCGGCAGCGCGCATGCGGGTGTGTACAGCCGTGAGTAGGTGACCAGGTTCGGATAAAAACCGGGCGCAGAAAAGCAGCCCTAAACATAACAGCCCGCTGCGTGGCACGGACAGCATCATCGACGAGTCTATTCAACGCTCGGATGCGCGGCAGACCACATTGTGTGTAACACGTAACGCTCGAATGCGCGGCAGATATGATCGCGTGTAACGCGGAATGCTCGGATGCATGAAAGTGAAGTGCAAGACGTAACGCTCGGATGCGCGGCATGAGAGGACGAAGTGCGTCGATCAGAACGCTCGAACGCGTGGTAGGTAGATGCGGGACTTCGCTGGGAGGGCGCATACATATCCATGTGAAAGCACAGCAGCGTGCGTAAGAATAGAAGTGCCGATTGCTAGCGGGCATGTGCAAGAGGCGAAACAAAGGGGGAACATGGGACGACTATGAGAAAAGGCTAGACGTACCATTCATCCGACCGCTGAAAAAAGAATCCAGCAATCTGTCCAGCGCTTCCACGGGCAGGGACTGAAGAAGTTGACGCTGTGCTGTGCCAGCTTCGCGGCCTGCCGCCGAATCAACGGGGCCCAGTCCGCCAGCGCGATCGTAGTCGCCAGACAGGGGGGGCGAGCCTCGGATGGCGTGATCATTGCCGGGCGTCGCGGACGAGCCTCGAACGTCCTGATCGGCGGTAGGGGGCGAGTCAGCGCGATCGGTCTGCTGAATGCCTTCCCATGCAGGTGGATAGGGGTTCGCTGCATATTCGTTCCGCTGTTGTTGTGTGAAGAGGCCCGCAAAGGTGTCGTCTTCGGTGAGATCCATGTTGTCGTCCATATACGCCTTCAGGCGAGACCGACAGTCGTTCAGATTGCCGGACGCGGATAGGCCCCAAAGCGCACAGAGCTCGTTGATGCGTGGACGGGGAGTCTGACTTAGCAGCTGAGTGAACGGCGTCATGGGGTTGCGTGTATGAGCGAGATCAAGTGAGGTCAGGGTGCTATCCAAACGGATTCGGGCGAGATTCAGTGAATTCGAGTGAAGATGGAATGTTGAGGCTATTTGCGAAACTCAGACGTTCGAGATGCTCGAAGCGAGAGAAGGAGTGACACATCATTCTTAATGCATAATCAACCCCAAGTCGAGTGAAGTTGACGCCAACGCGCGTGTCTTAGTACTCACGTGATCGCATTCAAAGACATTGCAAGGCTCGGTCTATCAGGCCGGAAGTCAGTTGTCAGTCCCTACCCTGAAGACAGCGAGATATCGGGAAATTTTGAATTGGAAAGAAACGTGTTGCAAGGCTGTGGAGAGACAGCAGGATCAGTGCTGTACACCATCCAGGCGGTATTATGACTCTGCAAAGGTTAAGTGTTGCGCCGACTTGGGCAGCGGGCGAGGTTCCCGCTAGCTCGAGGATATCACTGACTTGAAGCCCTGAGAACGGTGCAGTCGACTGACTTCCGCAGGCTGCGCGACCGAATCCGGCAAGTTCGCGGCTGACGCGGGTCTACAGCGTCGCAGTCCTGTCTGACGACTGGTGGAGGAGGGGGGAGACCCCGAGATGTTTCTGCCGCGCTGTTTTCTTATCGTGAGAATGTTATGAGACTGGATGGGGTGTTGCAAGACGGGGAGTCTACATCCATCCCATTGCACGCTGGGCGACGATTCCGAGGTGCCACTCGACCGCTTATCTCTGGCTGGCTTCGACCGTATCAGGACGCGCACGAGCAGGTGCTGCCGCTCCTCCCCCCGCTGCAAAGCCTCCGTATCGAACGAAAGGTGGCACCATGTTGATTGGATCGAGGCATGCGGGCAGGCCGCCGAAACGACCAGTCCACACTGCGGCCTCCGGCCCCTTCTATTTTCCATTTGCAGGCATATCGTTTCTGGCCCAACCCAATCCTACGCACCCACACCGCGCGCGCAGCACACGAAAGATGGTAATCCACTCCCCATGCAGCAAGAAAAGAAAAGAAAAAGGTCACCGGAGCGGTCATCGTGAATGGAGGTGCGGGGGTCTCGTTGAAGCCGGGACCGGGGACGTGCGCGGAGCGCGAATCGTGGAACGCCCAGCGGCGGCTGACATCGCAGGGTTCTGGAACTAATCACGAGGGGGGTAGTGTGTCGGTTTCGGGCGCCTGCGGGGTCAATAGAGTGCAGAGTAGCGACGCTGGGAGCGCTTGCGATAACCACTGGGCAGCATCGGGAGCTGTTGCTCTCATTCTTCGCGTTCCCGGTCAGAAACGAAAGATTTACGGGATGAAATGGGACGACGGACAGCCAGCTCATCAGCAGTGGTGAGTAGATAAAAAATCCGGTTAAAGCCGATATGTCCGATCGCCGCCGGGCCAATCACATCTGTGATGGATTGATCTGAGAGCACTTCGCAAGACCGCTCCGCAGTTTTTCTTGCCGGCAGCTGGATCCAGTGACTGGCCCTCTCCTTCGCACGGACGGCATCCATGGCCTCAAAAGTCGCATTTCGCATGCGCGGAGAGGGAACGAGAAGGTATCTGAACCTTGTTCACCCGCATTTACTCATGATCCTTCTCACGGGGGACGTTCCGCGACGATACATACGGATCTCCAGCTTCCTTGAATCGACGCTGCTCGGGTCGACGTTTGCGCATATGGTGGCGCCGTCTGCTCCATCACGGGTGCATGCTCGATCTTCTGAGCGGGTGATACATAGCTGTTATGGTTATTTATGCGCCCTCACATGTCCGCCAAGGCTCCGCACCCCATCGCTATTGGACCTCAAACTCCCTATGAACTCCTGTGGCGTCTCTTGAAGCAGTCCCGGCAGGTTCATCACCCCCCCTCGCCGCGCTGGAATCTTCGGAGTGGTGCCAGTCGATGATGGCTCTCACGTCGAGCGAGTGGAGCACCGTGTGAACGCCTCCGTTTGCTTTCCCTACGACGATCTTGACGGAGTCTCTCCTCTGCTTCTAGATAAGCGGATCAAGCACATGAAAATCCTCCTGCATCCCGGGTAAACGGACCCGGAAAGTACTACGCCTTCTCTCGCAAGTCAGGTCACACATCCCCGCTTCCGCAATCCGGTGTTGCCACCAAGCATCGGAATCAAATCAGTGGCAACTGCATCCCGCACGCCCATCTTCCAAAGTTCCGCCAGCTGACTGGGAGGGGGCACCCCCCTTGCTTGCTGGCGTGCAGCTGGAACGCTTCGGGAGAGTATCAGAATTCTGCCTGTACAACATTGATATCGGATGTCACGCGTCGTGCGCACCAGTTGTGCATATGTTGTTCTGCCGTATCCTGAATGGGACTGCTGCGTCTATTAAGGCGAGTTTCATCTGAACTGGGAACTTTCGGACGCCCCGCCCCCCAACCACCCAACCGCCAAGGACTTGGACTTCCAGCCCTCTGTTTATCTCAGGCCAATGACGCCAGACGAGAGCTCCGTTGTGCATTCGATCGGGCAAGACCTGGTGCAGGGATTCGTCGCCATCGCCCACGAGACGCTTTGGCTAGGTGCGGCCCCTCTCCGTCCTCCATGCACCGCGGGCTGCCAGCCTCACATCCTGGATTATTCACTGCAGGCATCTACGGCACGGTGGTGGTCCAAGCCTGTCTCGTGCTTCTGTAAGCCCGCCCGAATCAGTCCGAGGGGGCATATCGGAATCGGAATCTGATGCTGATTGATGTTTGTTTCATCCAGGTCGAAGAAACGCCGCGGCGTGCGCGGGTCGCAGGTGAACCTCGCGGCGGTCATCGCGATGTTCGCCATTGCGACCGTGCAGTGGGCGCTCGACCTCGCTGGCTTCATCATCGAGGGCAAGATGACGCTCATCGAGAATCCGGACGCCGACATCGGCGTCAAGTATGGCGATGCGTCGGGCGTCATCTTCAAGATCGTCGCTGCTCAGGCGGCGATCTATGGGTATATGGTTGGTGGGAAAAGGATATGAGCTTGAAGGCTTTACTCACGTGCGTTCCAGGCCTTGCTCGGGGATGCGATCATCATCCATCGCGCCTGGAAGCTCAAGGCAACCCACCATGTCTGGATATTCGCTGTCCCCTGTCTTCTATGGCTCGGCTCTGTCGGTAGGACTCCTCCTGCCCTCTAATCGAACCACGAATCTGAAGACGGACACAGTCGCGACGCTGCTGCTCACCTACTGCGTCGCCACAATCGGCTCCGATATCGTCCTGGGCAACTTCACACACCCCGCGTTTTGCAGGAACGTCCAGCTGGTCACGTACGTGATGCCCTGTGCCACGACGGCCGTCGCGACGGCGTTGATTGGGGCCATGGCGTTGTGAGTTGGACGAGATGCAGAGTCTGATCTATCGCTGATTCCGCCTCAGGAAATTCGCGCGGACGAGGAAGAGCATCGGTCATGTCGACCGAGTCAGCAGCGTCGGGACAGTACACAAGAGCCCGGCGTGGTATGTTCTGCTGCTCCTGGTCGAATCGGGCGTCCTTTATTTTTTATTCTTCGTAAGCGCTTCACGTGATGTTCGATATGAGGGAACGTTTCTCACGACGACGACAACAACAGCTCATTCAAGTGATCGAAGTTGCTCCGGTCGTGCACAACTGGCTCGCTGCAAATGCGGGCCTGTCACTCGCTTTCAAGATGTTCGTGTACGCGTCGAGCGTGTTTATCGTGAGTGGCCAATCCTCACCGTGGCCCGAATACCCACCGATCGCAACCAAACCGCAGGGCATCTACCCGACGATCCTCATCGTCCTCGCGCACTCCCGATACGCCGTGCTCGACCAAGTGGCCGCGAAAACATCGTCCTCCGCATACAGCTACGACACAGCGCGCCCCGTCCAGCACTCGATCGCGCCCCATTTCTCCGCGGGAACCGTGCAGGACATATCGACGTTCCATGTCCAGGTCCGGGGCTGCGAGGAGGGCATCGAGCTCGCGGACGTCGTTCGCGGGGACGAGAAAACGGACGTGAAGAATGGCCGCAGGGAGTATTGAGTGCGTGTTATGTAGGATTGTTATGTATGTAAATGTGTCTGTATTTAAGTATCTGTCGGGAATTAAATTGCGGGGCGGAGTTTGAATCTGCTGATGGTACACGGTTTTCAAACACTCCACCACACGCTCACGTACATATATGTACGGTTCGTTCAATCTACACGCAACATCGCTTGAAGCAGTCTATTGTACCCTGTGGATCCTCGATCATGAACTGCATGCTGGTGAGAACTGTCGCGTCGGAGCACAAAGAATATGGATGACCTACAAAATGGTTGGCGCCTTCGAGCATCTTGAATGTGATCGAGCATTCTGGCTTCGCCTCGGCAAGCATTCGCCCCTCCAGCTTCCAAGAGGCGTAAATCGCCGGCCACGAGTCAGCAGAACCAGCCACCACGAAAAACTGGGTGTCCTTCCACAGCTCGCCGCGCACGTGCGCGTCAAACAAGGTCTTGTCCACCAACTTCGCGGTAACGCCACCAAAACCCGGCGAGATGAGCGCATCATCGTATTTGGAGCTCGCGGTGAAATCAATGAGATGCTCCATGGAGACACGGGCAGTTGTAGGTGGGCGGTGAGGGTCCGTGCGGTCGTACGTCAGCGCGCTTGAATCATGCGCCGAGAGGTCGCCGTGTATGAAGAAGCTGGAGACCCAACGCGCGAAGAATGTTGACAATTCGTCGGGGGGAATATTGGGATCGCTGTGGGGGACGTGCAGTCCTTCCGGATGCGGAATGGCGAACACCATGGTCGGCCCCTCTGTAGAAGACTCGATAAGATGGCTCTTCCGGCTCTGAATCGAGACCTCTCACGGAACAGAATCATGCTGCGAACAGAGCGGCGAAGAGTCCGACGTGCCTCATCTGGTAGATTTTCTACGGATGCCACAATCGACAGAACTTGCAGACATCCGAGCGACCATCCCACCACCGCAACACGAGGCGGTAGAGAGAGCGAGGCGATTAATCCAGCGATCAGCAGGGCCAAATCCCGCCCCATTTCCGCCAGCAGCCGCTCCTTATCCTCCTCGTGCCCGTTGACGAACAAACTCATCTCTTCCGCCGAGTAGGGAGTCGTTCCCGGGTATCCACGGCGATTCACGGCGATGACGCGGACGCCGTTCGAAGGGCCGATCTCCGCAAGCGACGCAAATGTCCCTGGCGGAAGATGAATCTGATCAGCTCTACAGGCATAAGCAATGGCCTTGCCGTTGTGAAACATGATCCCGTGTAAGAGAATGAGCGTCACATAGTCCGTCTGTTTGTCCTGGGGTACTCCACTGTCCGTGTAGCTAAAATCCACACCCTTCTCCAGAGTGAAGGAAGGCATTTGGCAACAGACATTCAGTGAGTTTTGAGTTTATAAGCACTCGGGTTTCACTCGATATTTTTATCCGCGGCGCAGATTACGTCGATGACCGGCATGAGCCCTTGGGGCACGATGGGCCCCCGGTACATAACTCAGGCGTATATACTCCGGAGCGGGAGTCAGTCATTTTCGGTCACAATGTCCCTCCGGAAAAGAGGGACATACTTATGTCTCGGTCACGAGAGGACTGGGAAAGGAATAAAGTTGGGCCTTGGAATGTGACGACGCGGATTCCAGCCGATGTATAGCGGTGGTCTCCAGTATTCCGTTTGTCCCTGGGAGGACTCTGACCCCAAGTGCCAGACTCATACCATCCGAAGCCTTCGCCCACTGTGTTCCGGAGTTGAAGACTCGAAGCCCCTATCTCCTGTCATTGACAATGAGTCATTCATCGGTTAGCAGGCCGTTGATAAATTCCCGTTAGTCCTACTATCATCGATACCCAGTTTCGAATTTCCTTCGCGTTTATTCAAATTGTTTTGGGTGTTATCGAGGTCCATTCGGAAAGTAAATAACTAGATAGAATCAGGTTATGGCCTACCGTAGATATCTTTCAGTCGACCCGGTGTGGAACGTGATGCCCACTGCGAAAACCTTTCAGGCCCAGCAAAGCATATACAACAATAACAACACGATAAATAAGTCATGCTTCTGAGAATTTCTACAAGCGACAAGTTTGCTAGAAATTTTAACTCAAATTTTCGCTCTTGATTTTTTCGCCCAAATATTACAGAGTCTCCCCACTTCATGGGATTAATCAATCCATCGATGAAGCCAGATTCCAAAATATTCCAAGTGAGTGACATATGGTTAGATTTATATATAACCTTATATATATACACATAAAAATGAAAAGGAAATCCAATAAATCAGCCACGGGAGACATCCGACACAGCCACCCAGACGCTTTGCTGTCGACTGGCACCAGCTTTTGACGCTCAGGGAGCCACTTTGCCTCCAAAGATGCTTCCCGGCCCAAAGTCCGGCTTTCCACCCAAAGACCCGAAGATATCGCCGACGTAGTTTGTGGCCTTGACACCCGTCTGGAACCTCCCCTTCCACCCATTCAGAATCATCGCGATGACCTTCACACCCACGAGTCTGGCGTTCACGGTACTCAGCACGAACGCAGGCGCGGGGCCGAGCAGTGTGGCGACGCTATCCCCACCGGCCAGCGGGCGGTCGAAGTCCGACGCGGCGCGTAGCACGATGATGCGCGAGAAGTCGACGAGGCCGGCGAGGGAGCCGCGGAGGAGCGAGTTGAGCGTGGCGTTGTCCTCCTGCTGCGTGGAGCAGTACACGCCCGTCCCGTTCGTCCACACCGCCGTGGTGTTCGCGAACGCGTCGCCGAGGAGGTTTCCGCCCCAGAATGCGTCCGCCGTCGCGGTGTCGCACAGCACGACCCGGGGCCCGGCGGAGTTGATCGCTGCGAAGGCCGGCGCGGACTTGGCGTACGCCGCCCGCATCGCTTGCGAGTCCGCGCTGTCAGTCAGGTTCGCGGACTTGGCGGCGGCGAACGCGAGCTGCCGCAGGGGCTCGTTCAGCTCGAAGACCTCCGTGCCGTAGAGGATCGTCGGGTACTGCCCCGGCGCGGTCGTCCCCTGGCCGAAGTACCCCGTCGAGAACGACCCCGGGATCTGGCGTGCGTCGACCTCGAATTGGAGCCCGACGTGGACCGCGTACCGCGCGAGAGTTACAGACCCGATCGTGGCTACTTTCGGGTTGATGCCTGCGATTCCGGAGATGAGGAAGTACGTTGACGTGAGATCGAATGCTGCCGGGGAGTTTACGAGGGTGCTGATAGAGCTGGCAGCGTTGATTTCGCCCTCCCCGGTAACGAGCTGGCAGATGCGCCCGTCCTGAGTGCAGTGGACCTGCGGGAAGAGAGGGGAGAGGCCCGGGACGGTGATGTTCCTGGCGAGCACATTGAAGTCCGGGATCCCGTACCATGCCTGGGCCTCATTGATAAACTGGGAACGAGATGCGTCAGCTCTCGGTGGCCGACGATAACAACACTGGACCGACCATATTGACGATGAGCACCTGCGGCTTGACTATCGCGGCTACGGCAGCCGTCCAGCAGAGCGCTGCGCTGGGGACGAGGAGGGACAGGACTCGCTTCATGGGTGCCTTGGGGGTGCCTTGGGATTGAGGAGATGCATGCCGGTGCAACCTCCTCAAGTATGCACCCCGGAAACCGATCAGCAGACGACACATGCGCACCATCCCTGGAGATCATCGTCTCGACGTCTGTGAGAGTGCAACGGCGGTTAAACGCTATGATAGCAATTGGTGATTCAGGCCCGCGGATGGAAGTGCAGCTGCCACAGGTTGCCACATCTGCCGTGCAGATCTGTCTCTCGTGCCTTCTTACTCATGCTTCCCCTTTCGCACGCAGGGACATCCTTGCATCTATTCGACACCGGCATCCGGAATCCAAAGCTGCCGGTTTCCATATCGCTAGCAGTATAGTTCTCGACCTGATCAGAAACTGCAGAAACGATGATGAAGGAAACGCACTCGATTCCCACATCCTGGAAGACTAGGCTAACGAAGGGGGTCGACTAAATCCACAGGGCATGAGGTCCTAGCCTCGATGGATTGACGATCCGACCTAATTGCATGGGTGCCTGGCGCAATGGCTAGCGTGTTTGGCTTCGATGCCTCATTCGTACACCAAAAGGTTGCAGGTTCGAGTCCTGCGGTGCTCGTTTTTGATTGGCCCTGTGCCTTCCCAGGGTCCCACCTACACGCGCCCCCTCCCGCCACCCCCCGCCTCGCGTCTTTGTGGGAGCTTGTATTGTCAAGTCCCTATACCCTGGAAAAACATCCTCAGACTGCGTCCCCACAATGAGAGTTAGTTTCTCGTCATTCATGGCTGAACTCGAAGCCGAAAGGATCAATGGGGACTGAGTGACATATTCACTTTTCAAGTTGACAGTATAATATATGAGTTGCACTGCGTACAGGGGCAAAATCACAGGAAGGGATCCCATACTGTAGTGACATGCGTGTTCAAATATCTGGCCAGATTTCAAACAAGTGAGATACTCTGCTGTCTGCTATGACCTGAAACATGGAACGGAAGCTCACCCCTGCAAGCTGCCCTGTAGGCCAACGGAAGTGAGCGAGCCAATAGGCAGGGGGACAAGAAGAATGGTGTATTGAGCTATTGGTAGGTCTTTGAATGCAGGGATTTTCAGCGGCGTGTCCGCAGGCTGGATTAGCTCAGCTTGAGGATCCACCAACCGTGAATTCTAAGAGTCTTTCTCTTCGTTCCCTCTCGTTCTCTTTCCTTCATCATCTTAGACTCACTTCCATTCAATATCAACGAGACAAACATTGTACGAAAAACTCTCCGACTCCCGCAAATCGACTTACATCGGGATGTCTGGGAACACAACAACACGGCCAGTCTCATCCACAGCCAAACGAGTCGTGACATCAGAGCTGAAACAGTCGCTATTCTCGAACGGGTGCCCCCATTTGGTCCGGCCCCGAAACAGATCGTCCAGTTCTGGATGTTCAAGGATCTGATCAATCCGCTCATCAGGCGCAAGCAATTTTGCTTTGGGGGGAATCAACTGACCGCTTTGAGATCCTCGACTGTCTGCACTTCCGTCAATTCTGAAATGCATTTCTGGTGTGTGATGCGCACGACGCACCTCTCCTTGTATTTCCGCAATCAGAAGGTGCTCGCGCTTCGGGAACCCAATCTCGGCGAGATGCCCATCCAGTTCATCGTTCGGGGTCCACTTCATGCAGCCACAACATCAGCACGAACAACCCAGCGAGACCGGTACAGCACGCACGATGACATGCTTCCGCAGATGCTTCTCCTGTTGCGGCATGCGGATCCACTCCTCGAAGCACGCGTCGAGGCTTGCGTTGTGCTCCTGCGGATGCAGCCCGTGTGGGACCTTCATGAGCGCCATCGCCGTCGCGTGGGGGCTGCCGTCCTCGGGCGCAGGGCGGTGCAGCCGAATAGCCACGTCCGCCGAGAATACTGATGCATGGGATTTGAAGCCGAACTGCGCGTCGGCTCCGGCGAAGAGCGGGACGAGGTCTGGGTGCGTGAGGACCTGTCTCGCTGTATCGGTGCCGAATGGACGGCAGCGTGTAAGATATCGCTCACTTTGACGTAGTTCTCGACGCTGTCACACTCGATGAGGAGCACGGCTGTGGGGAAGGGATGTTCGAGTCCCACTTTCTTGTAGTGCTCGTCCAGGTACGTCGTCTGCAAGACCTACGCGAAGCGGTCATTCATACGATCAGAAAGAGCTGGCCGTTCGCACCAGTTCGACTTTCTTGAAGTTCTGCTGCACGAAAGGATGAATGACCAGGACGTCCACAAGCTGCTTCAGTGCCAAATCCAGAACGTGCTTGGGAACGTTCTCCGGAGCTCGATGAATTGAGACGATTCCGACGGTTGTAGTGGCTGCCATGAATGAAGCCTTGTTATTTGCAGGTCTCCTCTGAAGGGCTCTTTATAGCGACAAGTGAAGCGGATAGGCTGCGAAAACGCCCGCGAACTGTCTTCCGAGATTCAACAGAGGGAGCTCTGACTCCGATCGTGGTCATGTGTAAAGTCAACTTGACATTCAGCAGGCATTGACGCACTAGTTTTCAGGATCCCAACGGGGTCGTTGACTCCAAGAATTGAGGTTTTTATTTCTGTGACATTAGCTTTCGAATGCGCGCGCGCGCAGTAAGAGTTATCCGACAATTGATGATGGTAAAGTGGATCAATCTGCCATTCGAGTACAAATTCTGGTTTACCGAGATCAGAGAACACCGCAAGCGCTGTATGTATGCGCTGCACTTTCCAGGCGAGTCAGAATAGCTCACATTTGTGGCAGACGATGCGAGTGAATCGTCGCGTGTGTGTCGACTCTGATATCTCCGACGGATTTGAACTGCGTCAGACTCATACACTCGCTTCGTGCTCTATTCACAGTGCAAATATGACCCTACTTACAACACTATCCGCAAAGATGGAATACGCTTTGGCGCTGTTCGAAACGGAGTTCAGACTTGTCTGTTCTCCCGATGTCAACCGCTCGTCTGAACTTCTCAAAAGTGACGAACCGTGTGCTGGGCTGTCCGGCCACGTGATCAAAGGCACCAGTCGTTTCCTTTGCCACACGCGTTAGTTCATCGAGCCCCGCGATGAGTTGGGATGCAAGGAGCAGGGATACGAATAAAAATCACGTTGCGAAAGCAGCAGCGGTGGAGCAACCGAGGAGGAAGGTAAACACCATGCCAAGTATAGTGGCTGTGTGATTTGACTGCATCTAGTTGCAATGGTCCCTTATTCGGTTCAAGGCATTGCGGGATAATTTGACTCCTTGGAGTCAGAGCAGAGACATGACTGCCTCATGGCATTGGGAATGGTATGTAGCAGCAGTAGCAACGTCGTGCCAGACGTGTCAGATTCACATATGCAGCGATCTTTGTTCTGCCCGGGGATCCCGGTGAAAGGCACCACTGCAGATGGCCACCACTCCCTTACACCCCCAGCACGTTTGCTGCCCGGTGAAACATCACCACCACCACCACCACCACATCCTAGCCAACGCGCCCATCCTCTTTCCATCCCCCCTCGTCCACCAGGTCGACTTCATCCGGCCGCAGTTCTCCCGACTCTCGAAACTAGCGCGTCGCAAAGTTCATGAGACCCCGCATGCACGAGTCTTCCAGTCCATACTCTACATGAGATCTACGTTTGGATGCATCGCGTCGCGTCTGGATCACGGATGGGAAGTGTGCTGAGTGCGGCTGCTCCAATTTCCTTTTCGGGTCTGCCAGGGGCTCGCGCATCGTACTCTCATCCAGCTCGAGAATACCATGGGCGTTGGCCGCCCACACGAGGCGGACTGCGCGAGCGTCGTCAAAGATGGCTGACTGGGACCGAGCCAGAGGTCGTCGCGGGCGGTCCGCGCGCGTGACAACAGGAGTAAGTACGTCTTCTGCTCTTCCGTGGATTGCATTAGACGCTGACTGGATGCAGCCTGCGCGTCAAGCCTGATCCAAAGACACGGCGGCGGGTGGCGACCGACAGGACCGTCCGAGCCTCAGCGGCCAGACTCGAGCGTGCGGGAGCCATCGCAGCGCTTCGGGATAGAGCAGATGCATCGGACCACCGGTAAAGGCACAGGCACATTCACGGTGCGTCATTGCGGGGCTGATGTGATGTGCTGAGTGCGGGCGCGGGACGTGGGTTCGTTCTGGATCTCGGCTGGAATCGAGAAGCGACGGGACCGGAATCGGATGGCAGCGATCGCGCATTTCATGCGGGTTTCTGTGGCGATTCGGATTGGCCCTGATGCTCTCTCGGTGTCCGTCTGAGCTCTCCGTGCGCGGCGCTCGATTGACCAGACAGATCGATTCGCCGTGTGTAAGTCCTCATCGCCCACTCCCTCAGTCTTCCGATCGAATGTGTCGACTGCACAGATATGACGAGCCATGCACGCCGTGGTCGTGCTGAGACGCAGCATACGCGGAGATGTTATCGGCGCCCTCTCATTTGACGTCCATTTGCCAGCGATTCCGGCATAACGAGGAGTCGGAGAGGAGCGGTCTGCCCCAAAGAGTGCAAGCGTTCTGGCGAGCCTCTCAGAAACACTCCGGGAGCCGACCGACACATGTCGCCTTCTCTTGGTCCTCGGCCACTGCCGCTGTCCAGGCTGTGCTACGCATCTGGGTGCGACGCGAGGAAGCAGCTCCATCAGCCAGACGCGGTATCGGCCTCGAGAGCTCCTAGTAGGCGGGTGTCCGGACACTCCGCGGCCGTAGTGCCAACGACGATCCTCAGCAAAGGACCCGTCAGGACCTCCTAACGGACGACGTCCGCATAGGCACGAGCTCCAGCAGACTCGCGGTCCATGCGTGTAGACACAGAGCCGGGTTATCCGTCATCTCTGCTTCCACGGCTTCCTCCCACGGGTATCAAGTCAGCTCGAGACTGCCCCGCGCCACGTTCGCCCATCAACAGCAGCGCATCCATCCGGTTCGACGGCTGCGCAACGAGACGCCCGCCCTGGTGGTTGTTGATTACAGAGACGAGCGCAGCGAGTTGGAAAAAATGGAGGCGAGAAAGATTGATAGTGTGGGTAATCAAGTTGAGCGTGCGATAACACTGCGTCTTGGGGATGAGGCGCAGGGCGAAGCTTCACAGAGAGTGCGCAAATGAGGCACCGCCACTCTGATGTCACGCGTCACATCTGCTGTGTCACCTTGAAGCTCCGCCCTGCGATCTGGCGCGGGATCGTGCCTGGAGGTGGAAGAACCACCTGAGGGAGAAGCCTCCTGGTTCACACCGCGGTCCCAATCAGTGTCCCACCCACAAACCTAATCATTCTTCGTACCTCACCGTGTCCGCCGTCGGCTCCTCTCAATGTCCTGTATCGATCTTCCCGCTGTGGCGGAAGAACCCACACAGCACCGACTCGCCGACTCATCGAGATCACTCGTAACATCGATCAAAAGACCCCCATTGGCGGCCGGCGTCAACTGATCTGGCTTCTCCTCTTCGTTCTCTGGCTATGCTGCTATGCCTCGTTTTTTGTCCCCCACTCGGGGATGCGATCTGGACAAGCCCAGTTTTCTTCGCCACTGCCGCAAAGGACGACGCGTTGGCGTTGGATCTCTGGTCTGGCCTCCTGGATTCGATGGAGCAAATGATGTGCTGGACCTCAAAAGTGATACACCCCCAAGTCGCGTGATTCTCATGACTCTCATCCGTATTTCTTCCTCACTCGTTTTTCTTGTCGCTCGATATCTGTGCCTGTGTAATAAGAACTAGCTGCTTCTCTGTTCGGCTCCTTGGAAGGATAAACTGCCAACTGCCAATCTCGACAGCAAGCGAACTAGCCTGGAGAGTTGCGAGTTGGGTGCTCTACCATTGAACTGCTCGCACCCAACTGCCACGACGGCCAAGTCCGACAACTCTCTCTCTCTCTCTCGCCCATCACCGTGCACATCCGCCCCATGTGGAAACCACCCGCGCTCCTTGTCGTGGCTGCTCGCGGCACTGCGTCCGGCGCTCAAGCCGTGCCCGGCCCAGCACCCATCGACGTCTCCGGCGCACACGCCTTCCACCCGCCCGTCCCAGGCGACTTCCGCGGCCCCTGTCCTGCGCTGAACGCCCTCGCGAACCACGGCTACATCCCGCGCAGCGGCTATGCCGGCGTGTCGCAGGCGATCAGCGCGTCATTCGACGGTGCGTCTGCGCTGCATCTGCGCTGTGGCCGTTCTCCGTCGATGCGCTTCGCTACATAGTGTTCGGGATGGGCCGCGAGATCGCGGTCGCGTCGGGCCTCTGGGGAGTCATATATAGAGGAGACCTAGCGGGGATTCCCGACTTCCGGTTCTCGATTGGTCAGCCTCCCGGATTCGGTGGTGTGTGCGCTCATTCGGGGCACAGCGTGTGAACTGCTGTGAAATAACGCCGGCCGCTTCGTTCTGCAGGTCTGCTCGGGCTCGGAACGCCTGCGGGCCTCGGATGGGACGCACAACCAGTTTGAGCACGATGCGTCAGTGACGCGGTGCGATCTGTACGAGTGGTGAGTAGATCCAAGTATGTGTCGACGTGCCGATCAAATGACGCGGCGGATCTACTTTCGATGTCGCGAGCGTGAATACCACCGCATATCTGGCCTTGGAGGCGGTTTTCGCTCGGAATCCCGATCGCCGTGGCTATATTGATGCTGTTTTTGAGCATCTGGAGGCTCGGATCCAGCATGGTATCAAGAACAACGCCAAGTTCTTCTATGGACCAGTCCAAGCCGTCAGTCATCCACACGCGCGTGTGCTTCACGCCAGTCATCTGATCGTTCCTAGATCTTCGCTGCGGCGCAACACCTGCTCATCCCGCGACTGCTCTCGAACGGAACAACCGAGACGCTGACGATCGACAATCTTCGCTCCCTATTCGGCATTATCCCGGACGCGAGCGGGGCTCTCCAGCCGTCCCAGGGCGGAGAGCGGATCCCGGAGAATTGGTATCCCCGCGCGACACCGTACACCGCCGTTCCTCTTCTGCAGGACCTCATCGTCGGCTGGACGCGGCGCCCCAACACGCTGTGCATCGGCGGGAACACGAGCGAGACGGACAAATTCGCGCTGCTGGATCTGTGCGACCTCACGGGCGGTGTGTACGACACGTCGCTGCTTCTGCAGGGCAGCAACGCCGCGTGTTTCCTCTTCCAGCTTGTGCAGCCGCTGATTCCGGGGAACATCAATCTGTTGGATGCTTTTTTGGCGACGACGCTGGGGCTGACGGTGTTGTCCCCCGCGTGTCCGGAACTGGAGAATATCAAGTACGAGATGTTGGAGATGTATCCTGGATATAGTTCCTGATCGTAATGATTGATGTAATTGAGTAATGACGTCATAGCGTTTGTTTTTCCGTTACACGCTGGGCCATTGGTCACCGGATCGAGGTAGACTGTCCTCGAGGCCAGCGGAAAATCTCACTCTTGAATCCAACGCTCGACATAGGGCCCTTATCGGTAGGCCCATGTCCCCAGTGAGGGTGGACCGAGCGCCAACTATTTATAACTGCCTGTGGAACTCCTGCAGACTCACCCTGCCTTTGAACAGCTATGCAAACCTTTGAGTGGTATCCGTTCGAATCTCCGACTTGTCTCCTAATAGAATGCTTACAGCTTGCGACAGCACACTTTATTATGTGATGCCATCGTTATCTTATCGCTGACAAAGCATCACGCTTCCCAGTGCCGTGAACACTATGCGATCGTTTTCCGGTGTGCTATCGCGCCTAAAGTTCTGGAGGAAGGCGCTCATCTGGCTCTGATTTAACTCAATCTCCAGCAACAAGGAGGGAGAGACCTCCTGGTCCCACATCCCCGATGGAAGCAACGGAGCTAGCAGCACAAGCATCCGTGAGATTGCAATTATATAGCATTGGATTCGAATTATATACATGTAATATGCACAACTGGGAGGCATTTACAGCGCACAATTCGCCTCAATATTACGAAGAGGGGGAGCGTAGGTAGGTAGAGATACAACTGCCCGTGGGTCCGCAAAGAACGTCGGTGATAAGGTAGCAAGCAGCCAGCAGCAGCCAGCAGCAGCCAGCAGCAGCAGCAGCAGCAGGGAATGCATGGAGTTGTCCATGATGATGAGCGAAGGTACAAGAAGTGGCACAGCACAGCGCAATGAACGAAGCGAACCGGGAAGAACGAAAGAAGGGGGTCGTTGATTATACTAAAGCCGCACGAGCGTCGCAGCGTAACTCGGCGGAAGGGGGGAACTGAGGCCTGCGCGCACGGCCATCTGCGTCAGTTGAGAGCGAAGCGCTCTTGCTTGGTCGCTGTTGACTATGCAAAGAGAGGACGACCGTGAGCGCGGTCACGCTGGACACGGCGAGACCTACGTTTACAGGGCCACAGCGCGTTCAGCACTTCGACGACACCGAGCAAGTCCTTCCCCAGCTGCATCGCGCCGAGGAAGTGGGGGTCGTGCGTCAGGATCTGCAGGCACCTTCCCCGCGTATCAGCACAGAGCATGTCGCCATCGCGCCGGGGCTCACAGATGCAGTTGGTTCAGGAACCAGCTCACTTGAAATGGCCGCCGGGTCAGCGGGTAGCCCTGCGGGCCAGAGAGCTGGAATGTGGCGGATTTGACCAGGGCGATGACGCGGGACTGGTACTCGACTGCACCCCCTTTCAGGACCGGTTAAGAGAACGAGAGGGGAAGACCGCGCACCCCATTCGGCCGTCTGGCTGCGATTGAATGGAGGATCACGGGAGAAGCCGTTCATCCTGTGCGCTTTTTGAGACGGTTTGAGAGACGCAAGTGACGGGATCGCTGACCTCCGGATTGCCCCAGCGACACTGGTTCGAATGCTGCACAGATCAAAGACCAGCCAAGAGACGAGACAGACATGGGCGCGCACTTGTGGATATACTCCTGACATAGATATGATATGCTCGTCTCCGAGTGGCAGCTGTGAGCCTCGAGTGAATCCTGGACAGCCAGTGTCTCGTTCCACGTCTCATGCAGCGCGTCCGCGTCGATGGGTGCCTGGGCAAGCAGACGGACGAGGAAATTCCATAATAGAAGACTCCTGCAGTAGAGCGCCCACGGAGACTCCTTCGAGCGGTCGGAGATTTCCCCCGGAAAGAGGAGAGCGTACTTGACAGAAGAGCATCAGTGTTCGATTGGGTTGGCAACACCAGAACAGCGCTTACGTTGGCGGGATTAGTCATTTCGAGCGCGGGCACCTCGCGATCGAACGCGACGCACTGCACGAGATAGCTGGTAGCCAGACTCAGTGCACTCCACGTGAGCCGCCGCGCACTCTCCTTCCACATGTCGGGCGGGCTCCACGTGGGATCCCACCGCAGAGCATGGTCGCTCGAGCACGGTGCCGCCGCAGCCGACCCTGGGACGATCGGCACCGCGTTTTCGGCAAATTTCGCAGCGCCCCCCTCGCCGCTATCGACGGTGAAAGCCGAGATCGCGAGCAGCAGCTGGTCGAGCACCTGCAGGGCCGCCGCCACCCGATCGGGATGATACAGCGGATGCGCGGAGGTTTCGTAGAGGACGAGGATCTGCCGCAGATGCCAGTCAGCACACACGGCGCGGGAAGTAGCGATCAGCGATCAGCGATCGGCGCGGCTCACCAAGGCCGCTTCGGCTAGCGATGGGTCCAGCTTTCGAGACTCTCAGCCGACGCAACCGCAGTCCACGCAGGCAGCCACGCACCGATTCTACACGCGCGGACATCGCGAGCGCCAGCGCGGACTGCGCGTGATCGCGCAGACACCCCGCCCACCCGCGCCCGCCCGCCCCGCGCTCGACATCGCTCGCGCGCATCAGCTCCGCCAGCGCCAGCCCCGCCAACACGAACGCGGGTTGCATCTTGAGCCTGCTCTCGGGATGCCATAGATAGTCGATGTACACCGTTGCGTTGACGAAACACAGCCAGTGCCCTGCGTCGGCGAATCTGGGCGGTGGGTTAGTGAGTGGCTGCATGATGAGGGGAGCGGGAACGCACAAATAGCTGAGATCATCTACGATCTGATTCAGTCTAGAAGATGATTTCATCGACTGACAGACAAGCGAGCGGGGACGCACGGGTAGATATCGAGGAACTCGTTCCACCACCGTCGCTGGTCCCGCTCGAGGCCGGGCACGGAGGGAGCAGGCAGCTGGACCGACGGGGCCGGCGCGGAGGGTGATGGGAAGAAGGCGTGTGGCGCCGGCGCCGGCGACTGAGATCGCGGATCTCTGACACTGGACGACGTGCGACTCGAAGCTTGTCTGGGCGAGAACAGCTGCGACTGGCTCGAGAGGGAGGATGATCGCGAATACTACGTGACGTCAGTTGTGGGGGCACCAGCACATGCACTGCACCCGACGCACCGGCTGCAGATCTGTGCTAATCCGGAGCTGTGATGGAGGCGGTGGAGGAGGACGCGGAGGAGGCGGGGCGAGAAACGAGGTGGACGGCGCCGAAGCGTGCGGCGCGGCAGAGCGCATGGCGGCGTTGGCCTCGTCGGCGGGGCTGACCTTGGGCTTCTTCGGGGGAGGGAGCGAACCGTCCACAGGCCTCTTCTTGCACGAGCGCTGTCTCGTGCCAGGGTGTTTATCGGGCCCTCTCCGTCTCGGCGCCGAGTCATATATGCAAACATTCTTCCGTCGGACACAATTGTAGCAGGTTGGCCGATTAGAGTCACACCGGATTTTCCGTCCGCGGCTACCATCGCGTCGTCCGTCGTCGAGGAACACGACGGCGGAAAGTTCGATTTCATTGAGTGGTTGATGGATTGGCGAGAATGGTTAAATGAAAGACGCCAACATAAAGGATTCAGATGGAAGGATTCGTGAGCGTCAAGGTAGGTAGGCTGACGAGACAGGCTCTCTCACCATGGGCCACATGCTATGACGACCGCCGTTGATCCAGACTCTACCGGAAGTCCGCGCAGATCCGACACATAGAACTGCGACTGCCCGGCCAGCAGCGCGCGGTTGTCCTCCCCGGCATACGTGGGGTGCGCGTGGTACGAGCCGGTCGAGGAGCCCCCCAAGGCCATGCTCTGCTCTGGATGGTGAAACCGAGCCTGCTGCTGCTGGGCTTCCAGTGGGAAAAAACCATGGTTACGCGAAGTCGAGTAGCTGTTGTTGTGGTGGTGGCCGACGGATTCTGATCTCGAACTCGCGCTTGAGGGACTGGGGATGGTCGTAAAGTACGGATTCGGATTCAGATGCAGATATCGCGACGTGGCAACACCATCAATTCTGCTGCTGCCGTCGTCGGGGTAGCCTGATGGCGACGCGTACGCAGGTCCCGAGATTGGGCCGAAGGGGAGGTGCGAGGGGTTGTCTGACAACACAGGAGATTCTGTTAGACAGATGGTAGGAGGGGGGGCAGCAGCGCCCCCACACTTAAAAGGTGCGAGGGCTGATCAGCACAAACAACTCACGGGGACGGGTGCTGTTGCCGGCGTCTTCGCTTGGTGCATACAACGGAGAATCCAGGTCCGAGCCTTCCGGGCCATACGATGGCGTGCTGACCGGTGGGAAAACACGGCGGGGGTATGCGGGGTCGAGGTGGCGGCGCATCGACACGACGGGCAAGAGGGAAAGAAAGGAGCGGCAGCACGTCCAGGGAGGGACACTGGCTCTCGGGGGGCGTGTTTCTCCGCCCAATGGCCCCTCGAGTGGAAGTATAAACACATTCGCCGTGACAATGACATGCCACGATGGGCTGGGTGAAAACGAGAAGATCACGCCATCGTCTTCGCAAACAAACAGATTCTCCCCTTCGATCTTCCGTCCACCGCGACGTCCCTCGCCACTTTTTTTCGCAATCGCACAGTCTCGAAATAGGCTGCGGGAACGAAACGTAACACTGGAGACATGCATTTCATTTTCTTTCCCCTGTCCTTGAGTTCGCGGCGTTGCAGAATCATCTATCGCAAAATCTGGTGGATCCGGGCGAAACCACGGAGCTGGAGACCTTCGGCTTCGGACATGGCTCCACGATAAAGTTCAATGCCCCCCATCCCACACGCATGTGCTACGCCCAAGCGATCACTGTCAACCATTGAGGGGCAATCCGGCGTCTTGTATCGTCTACGTGAACCCGTGGAACCAAACCTTGACGTCTCTGTGAAATATTTTCGATATATCCACTCCGGTCTTGTGGCCTGGAACCGGCTCATTAGCATCAGGTGCGCGTTTTTGTCTCTATCCAATGCAGGGTATCGTGTTGCGATCTTCGCTGCTCACCTGGGAGAAAACTGATAAAAGCAGACGCTCGACAAAACCATTATCCGAACAGTTTCCAGGCCCTCCTTGACTGAACCTCCATTCTGATGATCCACCCAGAAGCTCGTTTTGGACGTTAACCATCTCCGCGTGACGGTGGCGCTAACGTCATGATCCCTGGGCCCTCCAAGTGCTCGAGCAAGAAAGCCGTTCTAGTCTGGATAAAACTCGACTGAAATGGATTCTTCTTTGCAGATCGAGTTCCCCCTGCGGTTTCTCTCGGTTTCTCGGCGGGGGATGCATGGATAAGTTGATTTCCCGAAGGGCATCACACCATGCCCGTGAAGCTTCCTGGAACCCAAACGGCGATTTCTTCTCACCGGTAAGATACCATCTGACCGACCTGAGCAAAAAAGAAAAAAAAGGTGCAGCGCGCGCACAGCGATCTTTCGCTTCCCTCTCCCGGTCGTGGACATCAATGATCCTGTCTGGCGAAACCGGGTTTGGCAACTGCCACATATGGCGCCAGGCGCCAGCCACGCTATCTCAAACTCTACAGTATACTACGTTCGCCAATCATACATACCCTAGGCATTGAGTCATTCATCAGCACCGTGACCTCGCGGTTGGTGCGTGGATCAGGAGGGGGACGTGGGTGTGCCTTATTTTTATCCTTCCATTTGCCAGTGGCTGGAACCCGACGCCTGTGCGTCGGCGGGGGAAGGATTACATATGCACATATTTCACTTCCTCTCTAAAGCCTAATTTTACCTCTGCCTTAGACTAGTCGTGGGGAAATGAAGGGGTGCGAGATGCGTGCTGCACGGCGGCTTCGCGGGCGAAGCGGGCTAAGAGTGACTGAGCGCTGCTCTGGATGAATGCTGTCCGACGCATTCGTGGAATCGACCAAGTGCACGAAATGAATGCCGCTCATTGAAATTCAATACACAAATCAGTTTGTCTAGTGTCGCTTTTCAAGTGCTCGGCTTGATCGTGGCTGAGGATCCCATGAAATGAGCCTCGTGTTCACAGATTGTCGGATCTTCCGTCCTTCCACCCGACTGGAGTCGAGATGCATGACAGGAAGATTAGATTCAATCGCTCTTCCGGCTGTCTGCCTGCCTTCTCAAGTACTCATAGGGCCTCAATATAGCAAAGGCTGCCGTGCGGCTTTCATGCATGCAATCTCACGACTGACCTTCTCGCGGATCTGGATTTACGTGGTCTGATTATTGGGTAAAAAGCGGACTCTCATTCTCATGTGGTTTCGGACACCGCAACACAAATATACTACTAGTAAACATCTAACGACACAGCATGGGTTCTGTAGAGAAGACGCGTTGGATCTTATCTCGCAACGCTCAACTAATCACCTAATCCAGGAAGTCAGCAAGGGAACAGAAGATGGCAGACATAGAATACATACTTACTGCTGCTGAGTGACAGAAGAGGCGGAAGAGCCTATCGCCTCGGAACTCGTGCCCGCGCTCTGATTCTGGTCGCAGTTGCCTCGGCTGGGTCCGGCAATGGGCGTCATTTGCGGCCCAGCATCCTGCCTGTGCCGCTCCTGGTCCGTGTGCGTATGCATGAGCTGCACCTTGAGATGCTCGGGAAGCCCTGCGTCCTGCACCAAGTCGAGCGCGAGCGGGGGAGTATCGGTGCTGGCGAGGTAGGTCCGGATGAGTGGGTGGCCGAGGACAGCAGCGTCATCGATGGGCCGGGCGAGGCACGCTCGGACGCAACGAAGAGTGGGAGTAGAATGCGTGTCGTCGGTGTCGTCCAGGTGCAGGCGGGCGATGAGGAACTGGGTGAGGAGCGGGGTGAGCTGGACGACGCTGTGGGCCTTGAGAGTCAGGCTCTCGAGATTGGGGAGAGTAGTTGGGGTGCCTCCCCGCAGCGACAGGACCGCGCCCGGCATGCTCCTCTGGGGGTCGGTAGAAGGGGGCGGGCCGCCCGTGTGTGTGTGGTAGAGGCTCATCAAGACACTGACACCCCGGTCATCGAGTGTGAGGTGCTTGACTGAGGCGGGGAGCGCCCCCAGCGCCCGCTGGACACTCGCTGCACGCATGTGATGTCCTGCGACGTGGGATGTTTCGAGGTGAGAGAGACGCGCGAGGAACCGGATGAGTGCTTGAGGAACACGCGGGACCGGCGCCTCCTGCGGCCCAGAGTAATAGATTGTAAGAGTGCGCAGATTGGGAGCCTCGACGAGTGCGAGGAGACCCATCGGATCTTGCGGTGCTGCGTGGCGGGGCCGACGGATGCCGAGCTCCAGCGTGTGCAGGTGGGGAAGAATGACGGGATCGGCATCTGGGGGTAAGGGAGTGTCATTGACGACAAGATGCGCAGAGCGCAGCTGGGGTTGCTTGCGCAGGACATCGAGGATAGCCTCTGGGGCTTGGGCTGCCCTGGCGTGCGACTGGGGGGGATCCGGACACGCGGCATCGACAGAGAGGGAGTGCAAGCGTGAGCGAGAAAGGGAAAGATCCTGTATCCGGACCAGGTCAGCTTCAATGGAGACATGGGCGACACATGGCGCACCCAGGATCTTCAGATCAGCCCAATTCTCGCTCTGCCCACCCGAGTGGCTGAGGGCTCCAGCGCCGTTACCAGCCTGCCAGAAGCCCTGTATAGTGGCCGAGCTCTGGCCTGGTTCCACGCGGCCCCCGCCCAGGCTAATCCTCACGCTTTCCAGCGTCGGTACATCATCTACACCAAGCTTCTTCAGCCGCTCCAACTCGGCTGCGTTGAGACGCAGATCGACGCCGCGCCAGCGTTGCGCAAACGCCACGAGGGTGCTGATATACGTTGTGGCACGGAGTCCGTGAAACACATGGTCCTCACACGTGTCGAAGCCGAGTGAGAGCGGGAGCCTGCCCGAGCGGTCTAGCCAGGCTCTGATCGCCGCGGGTCGCGCAGCACATTGCGCACGGTATGCAGCCCACGCTTCTGCAGATCCGTGCTCGCCCGGGGAGCGTGGCACGTCGATGCGCAGCTTGGACCAGAGACGGGGAGTAGCGTGTGCGAGTGAGCGCCAAGAGGCACAAACACGGCCCAACAAAAGCGGGGGTTCGTTGACGTGCATGACACAATGGCGGTCCTCGGGCATGCAGGCGATGAATATCTCACGGATAACATCGTCTGGCATGCGTCGAACGGGCGCGAGCAACGCTTCGTGCTCGAGAACGAACGCTGTGAGACGGGTTTGCTCCAGAGCCAGGTCGGCCGGAAATTCCGAGACACTGCTCAAACGCGTGCGGGACTCGCGTACGAGGACCTTGATCTGTCCCACTTCGTGCTCAGTGGGAGCGCAGTTTGTGCCCAATCTTGTAAAGAATGGGGACCGGGCAAATTCGAGAGACAGCCTCTCAAAAGTAGTGATGTTTAATTCAGACATGGTGGTTCGTATTTAAGTGGTTGGATGAGTGGGATTGGGAACTATTGAGCTTTTATACCCCCGGGACACACCCGGGCCGAGCTCGTTTCAAGTCAGTGGTCAGGCCGCGGTACCGAGAACCGTAGTAACGACTGCGATCTGTGATTGTCTGCTCGATTTTCCGGTGCTTCGCGTGCTGCCCGCACATCGGTAAACCAATGGCCCACCTGGCACTTGGGCCAATTGGCCGTTGAGGTCAAAGGTCTGACTAATCAATATCGGAGATGCTGTCTCTTGTTTGGCTCACACGTGACAGTTTCAACTCCCATTCCCACGTGATACGTTCAACCATCAAATCAGGTAAGTACAACAGCCGTAACAACAAATTGCAACAGTCTGACACTGCGCATTGTCCGAAAAAAATCTCCGCGATTGACATGCATGTTCAGGCCTGGTTGTCGGAGAACACAACCGGTCGGCCGTTCTCATCGGTGGTCAAACGAGTGGTCACGTCCGAGCTGAAACAGTCGCTGTTCTCGAACGGATGGCCCCACTTGGTGCGGCCCCCAAACAGATCGTTAAAGTCCGGATGCCCCACTATCTGCGCAGTAGGTCAGATAATGTTCATACACAGTGGGAAGGTCTCGTCATTACCGCTTTGAGATCGTCCAGTGTCTGTCGGAGAATGAGTTGAGGGGCAAAGCGACGTGTGGAGGAACCGACGCACCTCTCCTTGGATCTCGGCAATCAGGAGATGCTCACGATCAGGGAAACCCATCTCAGCCAAGTAGACATTCAGATCATCATTCGGGGTCCACTAAACGCGCGGCCGGAACAGTCAGCGAAACCCTCAGATCCACGAGGGAGAGGGAGAAACACGAACAATAACATGCTTCCTGAGGTGTTTGCCCTGCTGGGGCTCGTTGATCCACTCGGCAAACAGCTGATCGAGATTGCTGTTGTGCTCCTGCGGGTGCAGGCCCGAGGGCACTTTGATGAGCGCCATCGCGGTCGCGTGCGGCTTCCCGTCCTCGGCGACCGGGTGGTGCAGCCGGATAGCGACGTCAGCGGAGAACACCGACGCGTTGGACTTGAACCCGAACTGCTCTTCGGCAGCCTGAAACACGCGACGGAGTTCCGGGTGGGTCAGCACCTGGGTAGCGTCAGGGGACGTCCAGAGGCGCGAGAAGGAGATGCGTGTACCTGGACATAGTTCTCGATACTGTCGCAGTCGATCAACAGCATCGCGGTGGGGAACGCCTCGTTCAGACCCAGATCTCTGACATGTTCCTCCAAGTGCGGTGTCTGCACCACCTGGAAATGAGGGGATCAGTCAACCAGCCTCCGCGAGTTTGTTTCGGAATACCAGCTCGACCCTCTTCAGGTTCTGCTGCACGAAAGGATGGACGACGAGAGTGTCCACGAGCTGCTTCAACGACGTATCGAGGGTGTCTTTCGACACGTTCTGGGGTGCCCGGTGGATAGATACTATGCCAACTGTTGTAGACGCCATTTGAGCTTGTAGAGAGACAGGTGGTGGAGCGGAGTCTTTTATACGCCCTCGAAGAGGTCAGGAAGGGTCCCGAGAGTCGGGCGAG